TATTAAAAAACTAAACTTTTTTAATTTATATATTTAATTTAATACGTTATAATAGTAATTTAATAAAATATGATTTTTAATAAGTTTTAGTAAAATAAAATATTAAATCCGTTAAGGATATATTTACTTAAATTAAAAACTAATTTAAAGTTTATAGCGTAAAAAGTGAAATATTAGCTTTAAAAACCGTTTATTTAAAACGTTTACTTATTACGTTTATTTATTACGTTTAAAAAAAAGTAAGTTTTTTACTTTTTAAATGTTATTTTACGGTAGTTATTTAGAAACGTTTTATGTTAATATATTTAAGTTAAATACATAACTTATCATTATATTTACTTTATATTTATAAAATAAAAAATATTTCGAGTTTATAAATATTAAAAGTTAAATTTTCGTCTTTTTATATAAGTGTTCGTTTAAAACGTTTATTACGTTTATAAAAAAGTAACTTTTTGCTTTTTAAATTTTATTTAACGGTCATTTAATAAAAATAATTTACTTTAACCTAGTTACGTTAAATACGTACTATATTACTTAGTTCACCGTATACCCTCTAGGAATAAAAAAGTAAATAATAAATTTTAAATAATTAAAAGGTATCTATTAATAATAGTACGTATAGATATTTTTTATTAGTTAACGAAAAAATATATTTAAACATTTTATATATTTTTTAATTAGTTTAATTTTAATCCCTGTTTTTTTATTAATTTTAACGAAACCTTTTAATATAAATAAAACCTTTACGACGTTTTTATTATTAGTTTTTTATTTTTATTTTAACATTTTCTTTTTCTTTTACTTTTTCCTTTAACTTTTTTTATTTATTATTATTTTTTTATTTTCTTTCGACGTTCGGGATAACGTTAAACTAATAAAATAAATTTAAACGTTAGTTTTACACTTATTAACGACTACGAATTAATAGTTTTAATGAAACTTTTTTTACTTTTTTTTACGTTACTTTTTTAGAGACGTAATGAACTACTTAAAATACCTTTTTATTATTTAATTTTCGTTTTAAACGATTTAAATAACTATATTTATATAGTTTTAAATGATTTAATTCGACGTAACCTTTTTCACCTTTTATAAAGAGTATAAATAAGTAAATAAAATTAATTTATATATAATAAGTTTTTTAAAAAAATTTATTACTTTAACGGTTATTTATTAACATTAATTTAAGTGTAATAATATTAAAATCGACTCTTTAATTAATTTTAAAAGTTCGAATTACGTTACTTATGATAAATAAAAATACGGTGTAATTATTTATTATAAAACCTTTAAAGTTTACTTTTTAAAACGTACGTTTTTATTAATTATTTTATAAAGCTTTTATTATAAATAATTTTGTTATTAACGTTTTTATTAATTTTTATAATAATGAAATTTTACCCTTTTTAAATACGTCGTCTTTAAACGGTTGCTTAAAGGTGACCTTAAAAAAACGATAACTTATATATACAATTTAAGATACGATTTTAAAAAACGACATTAATAATAAAATTTTACTTAAAAATAGCTTATTTTTTAATATCGTTAATTCGGATTCGTTTTAAGACTTACTTTCCCTTTTAAATTCATACGTATTATTATTTATTGTTTTAGGGTTATTTTATTTTTTTAGTATTATTTTTACCGGGTTTTTAAACTTTTATTAATTTTTATAAGTTACTTACGGTTATTAATCGTGAAAAGTTAAAATAAACTTTATATTTAACGTTTAAAGTTTAAAAAACCGCAATTAACGTTAAAATTTACTAAAATTTGAAGGAAAACGGTATTATTTTTTTATTTTTTAATATTTAAACCTTAAATATATAAAATTTATATTAAAAATTAATTATTACGTATATTAATTTAATTTCGAGTTCATTTATAAACTTATCGGTATGTTTACGTTTTTATTTATTACGTTTTTATTTATTACGTTTTTTATTTATTATATTTAACTTATTAATTAATTTATTATAATAAGTTTTAAAGTTTTAAATATTTTATATTTAAAACGAAATATCTTCGAAGTTATTATATCTCTTTTAAAGTAATATAATAATATTTTACTTAAAGATATCTTTAAGTTTTTTTTTCATTAATAATATTATATATGATAATAATTCGGTTATTGATATTTTAAAAGTATTATTAAAAATAATACTTTAAATAATGACGTAGTAATCGACTTTATAAAAAGACTTTAATACTTTTTCTTTTTACGATATTAAATACGTTACCTACGTATTTAATATTATAGTAAAAGAGATATTAAAGTCGTTTTTATTAAGTTTAAAAAAATTCGAATAGTAAGTTTTACGTTTTATTACGTTTTATAATGTTTTTTTATAATAACATTTTCGTTTTATTTTAAGTATACTAATTAATTTAAATAATTAAATTATAATTAATCGAATTTGATAGTTAATAAATTCAATAAAGTATATAGAAGATATATGAAATCTTTTAAATACGGGACTTATTATTTGTAAATTAAATAATAAGTCACTATTAAATTTTAACCGTCGAACTATATACTACTAGGTTAGGTTTTTTTATTTTTATTTTTTTATTTTTATACTAAATAATATTTCGGTTTGTTAAATTTTAATTCGACGTATAATATATTTAAAGTTTTTTTTTTAAATTTAAACCTTTATAATTTACGTTAATAATGACTTTGTTAACGAGGAATTTAAAGATATTTTTATTAAAAAAGACGAATAGTTTATTATACGTAAATTAAAATACGTTCTCTAAGTCTATTACGAGCTTACGAAAAGGTTATAAAACGAGACGTATATAACCTTTTTTATTACTTTATTAAATATTTATTTAATATTTAAAACGTTAAAAAGGTGAAAATTTTATATACGAATCGTTTTTCTTCGGTAAAATTATTAATTTGACTATTATATTTTATTTTACTTTGTATTAATTTAATATTAATTATTATTATAAAAACTTTACTTATTAAACTTAATTAATATTATTTTAAATAGTATCATTAAGTTTAATAAATATTCTCCGTTTAATTTTATATCTATTAATTTTTTAAAATGCAACCCTTATCTAATAAGTTTTAATTTTAAACCTTAGACTTAAAATCTGTTACTTTACGAACTATAGATTTTTTATAGACCTTAAGGTTAAAAAAGTGGTTAAAGATATATTTTTTTTTAAAATATAATTCGTAAAGTTTTTATTTTATTACTATTTTATTAATTTTACTACTATTTTATTTATTTTATTAATTAATTATTAATTGTTTGATTTAAAACGAGAGTTTAAAGTTAATATTTTTATTAATTTTAATATCTTTTTCGATGAATTAGTTAGTAAAGACGAAAACGACGAAAATAACGATAACGACGAATTATTTATTCGTACTTTTAACCTTATAAACGAAGTTGACGTTTATTTATAAAAGTAACTAATATAAAGTTAAAGAAGTATTATTATTATTATTATTATTATTATTATTATTATTAGCCTTTAATATTATAAGTTAAACCTTTTAATTATTGAAGAACGAATTCGGTAAAATTTTTAGTATTAAGTGTTTTAATTAAACGGTATTTAATAATTTATATTACTTTTATAGTTATTAAAAAGGGTTTTTTATTAATAATAATATCGTTATTGAAAACCGTAACCGTTTTTTATTTAATACGGTTAAAGAGGTTATATTATTAAGGTATTAAAATTTTTTTATTACTAATAACTTTAACTCGTTATTATTTACCGATAATAAAGTAAATAAATAAAATATTATTTACTCTTTTTTAAGAAAACTTTATGAAGTAAACGTTTTTAAAGTTATTATTCTATTTTTTACATTTTAATACTCGAAATAATTTTATTTTTGACTGTTATACGGTAAATATAATAATGTATTACGTATTTAACGTAGACATATAAAAATAATATATTCTCGTATAGTTACCGTAAAATAATATTTAAAAAGTAAAAACTTACTTTTAAATACGTAATAAACGTTTTAAAGTAATACTTTTTAAAACTAAAATTTTCCTCTTTTTATTTTAAAACTCGATTTAATTTCCTTTTTTAATAAATATACCGTTATATAAATCGTTAATAACGTATTTAACGTAAATATATTAAAATAAAACGTTTTTATATAATTACCGTTAAATAAAAAGTAAAGAGTAAAAACCTACTTTTTATAAAACGTAATAACCGTTTTATACGGAAAACGTCTTTAAGAACGAAAATTTTACTTTTTAAATAATAAAACCCGAATTAGTTTCATTTTTAAAATGTAACCGGTTAAAACAACAGTAAATAACGTATTCAACGTAAATAAATTAAAATAAAACGTATTTATATATTTACCGTTAAATAAAACTTAAAAAAGCAAATTATTACAAAATTTAAAACGGCATCAATGTGAGGTTTTTAATTAATATATTTTTAAAACGCATATTTAAAAATTTACGTTAAAAATATCGATTTATTTTTATTTTTATTTATAATATAACTTTAAAGTGTAAATTCTTACGTTTTCTTCTTAAAACAAAGAAGGGAGTCTTACTTAACGTGTGGTTAAAGGGTGGTTGGGGACGAGCCACACGTAAGCCAGATCACCTGATTCGTGGCCTGCGGCCACGATTTGATTATAACAGTAAGCGACTCAAGTTTGTTTCTCTTTTTCCCTACGGTGACTAAGGTGTTCCCTTTCCCTCCTTTTATTTTCTGTCTTTAATAGGCCTTATTCACTTATCAATTGTTAGCTACTTAAAAATTCCTTTATTTCTTCTTCACCGAACGACTTTACGACCACCTCATTTACGGATTCCTTAATTATACCGTACGACGACCGTATATACCGACTGCTGGGTGATAGATGCTATAGCGTTTCGTCTGTGACGAGTTCCCCTTTACGGAGACTTCGCCGTTTCTGGGATGTATTGCCGGTGTCCTTGTCAAACACATTTAGCAAGTGCACTCGTTGCACATACCCAACCGTGTAAACATTACGGACAAATAACAAGCTCATTCCCAACCAGAGTTGCCCTGTATCGGGCCGCGCGCTGCTTCATGTCTGCTTCCGTGCTTAGATTGCCAACAGCTTCTCGGCCGCTCTGGCCGAGGGCCACCAGGACTGCCAGCGGGGAGCTTTTGAGGACCATGGTCTCCGAAATGTGCGTTGCGGCAATTGTGAAGACGAGGAAGGCAATGCAGATGGCAATCTGAGCGCCGAGAAACGCGAGCCAACCCCAGCGGACATGCACATAGGTCTCGGTGGTCCAGGCCGTGCCCTCGACCAAGTACGCATTAGCTACGCCTTTGAATGGCTGCATCGTCCGGAGCCTGGCCGTCTGGTTAGTGGGTTCAACGGAAGGGCTGTAAGTAGAGAGGGAGTAGGAGCGGGCCCTTAGGTGATTTGGGTTGAGCGGAGCGATGTCCGGTTCTTACATGTTTGTAGCACCTATGGCAATACCGTCGGCGACCTGCTGAAGGCGTGCGTACTGCGCCTCGAGGCCGTCTGTTGAACCCCATACGGCATCGATCAGCTTCATGCCCACATTGGCGCCCGTCTCGGCTGAGCCGCCGCCACCGTTCCAGTTCCAAAACGATGTTAAGCCGAGATGCATGTCTACAGTCACCTCGGTGAGCAGCTTGCTGTGGACGGAGAAGTTGCCGCCTGGCCCATCTAGTGTAATGGTGTAGGGACGGGAAGGGGAAGTAGGCATATAGCCGCAGACAAAGGGTGTCACGTCGCCAGTGATGTTCCACGTCACACAGTCGTGCTTGAAGACGGGCACAGAAGGCAAGTCACCGACGATGCGGCACTGCTCGCTGGTAGTCGTCGTCACGGGCCGGCCCTCGGAAACTCGGACATCGAGCGTCTTTACACACAGATGCAGCACCAACTCGAGGGCCTGAAATTGCGGCACAGCAGCCACGTCGTGGTTGGGGTAAGACATGTTCGGGCCGTTGGAATAGATCAGCAGGCCGTCGTACAAGGTCGTATAGCGCACGTCGCTGTCGTCGCGAAAGAAAAATGACTCGTTGAGGGTGAGTAGGTTCATGGTGTATGCCACGGGAGTTGTGATCCAGGCACCGGGCTGCGGAGCTGTGACGTTGTACGCGACCATACGCATGTTGATTGTTGCCTCGTCACCCCATCCTGACGAGTCGTTGAAGCCAGCATTCGGTAGCACAGTGATGTTGAGCAGCGACGTCGCATTGGCCACCTTAGCGCATATGCCCAACGTCGCAAATGACGGGAATGAGCATTCGGCCGTTGAACATTCGGGCGAGAGGTCTGCATAGGCGTTGGCACCGTTAGGTGCTAGCCCCGAGTGTATAGCACCGACCATCCGCAGGAACTCGGGGTATGGCTGACCGCTGCTGTCTCCAATGTGGCGCGCAGCCCATGTCGTGGCTGTGCCGTTGGTGTTTGTCTGGCGCTCGGGATACGACAGCGTCTGCTGTGTGATGGGCGACGTGACAATACCGATGACCGTCACGGCCGCACCGACGGTGGCAATATTACGCCACCGTGTCTTTCCGATGAGCGACACGGAGCCCCAAAGGCCACGGCTGGCTAGATCAAAGGTGTGGAAGTCTGCCAGGCTGCGATGCGTGCGGAACCAGTTCCACTTCCACTGACTGATGGACTCTGCTATTGGTATCATAAGGGCCGCCTTGGCCAGCGTGGCAAGCAGCGCGACTAGTGTGTTGAGTGAGATGTGGAGTGGTAGTTGTGGCAGCGCGTTGTTATTGTACGATCCCAGGACCGCGACAATTGCTGTGTAGTAAATAGTGTTAGTGGGCAGCTTGGCTCGCAGAGACGTTCGAAAGACCTAGCGCAAGCTTACTGATGAAGGACGCCACGCTTATGAAGCAAAACCAGATTTCCCACGCCCAGTCGCCGAGAATACGAAAGACCGGCCCCCCAGAGCAGCGCCGGTGTGCCGGCCACCCCAGATGAGAACCTGACGCTTCTGCGTGCATCGTCACAGGCGTTTCCGTTGGCATGGAGTCCTCCTGGGAAACCGGTGTGGTTGTCTCACAGACGCCATTTTTATTTTGTAAATGTCCCTGGCGGTGTACAGGCACAGCCTGCTGCCCGATCTCCTTGGTGTCGGTGCAACGGCACCCTGCGATAACATCGCCACTCGGCACACCGGCGACATGCTGTGAGGTACCCATGCCCAGGAATGTGTACAGGCAAGGGATCCCGGAATTTATGTCTGTGATTGGCTCGTTCTCCAGTAAGACAGAGTTTACGACTTGCCTCTCGTTTGATTTCCTATGGGACCAGACCTGACGCATGCTGGGTCCTCGTGATGCTCATATACACGATAGCCAATGCAGACACACATGGACACACGCTAAAGAGAACAAAACTAAGAGGACATGGTAGCTTGTCGGGCCTCTTGGAAACAACACATTTTAAGGTATCAGAACACGTTCATTGTCTGAAGAGCACGCTACGCGATTAGAGAACACCCCCCCGAGCGGCTGTTGCGGTCCAGGACGGTGTTTAGAAGGAAGTTTTCAGTTGCACGACTGAGCTCAATAACGGGATGTGAGCCGTGAGACTGTGAGGCGACGGCATATTGTCAGGATTCGAGCCTATGGTAACATTTTTAGATTGCCTTTGGCTTCCGGTCACAATCAACTGCTCGGCCTAGACTGCCAAGTGCCTATGGTGCCTCACATTACCCGGCCGTCCATACAACTGCGCGCACCGGATGAATTTGCTGCCTCTCTGTAGAGCGATTAGCGTCCTGGCTTCTGGGTAAGACGGCTGGAAGGGCCTGGCTGTTGTAGCATCTCAAAAACAGGAGAACCTACAGCCTGCCATTGGCAGTAAATTAAAATAAACGAGTGTACTGCCCAGCCTTATTTGAGCCAGTATACTCAATCGCGTTACTCTGGTCGAAGATCAGTCACCTGTCTGACTGGGAAGGAATTTGGGGAAGGGACGGCCTGGTTGAGCCGGACAGGTGCGGTGCCGACGCAAGTATACCTGTGTGACATGAGGCACAGGTAAATAAACACCCCCACCAACAGGCCAGGGCAAATTGGCAGCCGTTTACTGACCGATCTTGATGGCCTTCGCACAATGCTGTGATTGCGTCCTTTTCTGGCATACATATCCCAAAATGAAAGGTACTTTGCACCATTGTGCCTCCGTCACTATCGTGCTAGGAGCGCCTAGGCTTGCATCCTTCTTTCTTATCTTTCTCACGCCCTTGTAATTACCTTCGTCTTGTCACTCCTCCCCCCCCCCCCGGGGCGTCCCCAATAAGTCCGTGATAGTGTTGTAAACTGCCAATTTGGAAGATTCTACACCTCATGCGGCACGGGCTGTGCCGGTTTCTTAGTGGAGGAGATTACTTAGCTTGCACGAGAGCAGCTGGGGGCCGGATGAAGTTTTGTGTCTCGCTTTCTAAATGTATGCCGTCTCGTATACCCGTGTTTGCAATGATGACAGCATATAAAAATCTCCAGTACCCATGGGGATCAACGTAAGAGAGCATAATATATCAAGGGAGTATATCCGACGTTGAAAGCTGGCCGGGTCTGAGCAATACTTTAGGTGCCTGACTGTACCCGCAAAACCGGACACATAGTGATAGTTGCATGGCCCATACTTCTACGTCTTTAGCAAGCGAAATCTCCAAGGTTATCACAGCGGTTGACCGCATGGATACTGATCTTGTGGTTGGAGACGACGTTGGCAAGTCGCGGAAAAGGCTGCACTTGGTGCCCATATGACAGTTAACGAGAAGGTTTCGGGACAAGGACAACAGCTCCGATATGGCCAAGGAATACCTTCCTTCCTTGCCCAGCTGAACCGAATTGGGATTACGCTAACTGCCGTTTTTTAATGTCACTGTTACACGGCCTACGGGTTCGGCCCGCCGTCCGCTATGCTGTACTACAGTGAAAAAAAGTTGGTGCAGACAGGGGCTTCCTGTTTCTCCAAACCACGAAGATGATCCACGGGTCCTCTTTAGAGCTGTCCTCTCTGCCCCTTATTTGTTTGCTACATAACGCATGGCAATTGGGTTGGCTACCAGGTGGGCCCCGGATACTACGGCTTCTGGTACGTTTGACGTATCGATCGACTGGAATTATGAGGACTATTTTTCGTCCATGTATAGAGCGCTCTGGGCAGACGACTCACTCATTGTTGGTACACTACGGTGCGGATTATCTACCCTGTCCTGTACTTTTCAAATATGCCAGGATCTAAGAACTTCCTACCAATGTCGTCCGGTACCTACGAGGCCAACGGCCGAGATACAACACTTGTTGTGTCATCTGAATGCCGTCCTTGTTTTTTCGCACTTTTGTGGTGCTCTGCAAGTTGAACAAGAGCCCTCGTCTATGCTGAACTGTGTTGCAGTATGAGCCCTTGTATCGCTCATTGACGCCTTAAACGCCGTTGTGAGGACTACAATGGCCCATACATCTGGTTTACAGCGTACGTCGCCTGCGCTGCGTTGGTGGTACCTGTTGCTCCTGCTGGTTCGCATCGCAATTTCGATCAATACTCTCTACGGCGGTAACCTCGGTCTGCCATGGTGGGGGTTTGCCTAATCTGTACTGTAACTGCCATCCGACAGCTACTATTGTATTCTTTGGGGCCTAGCCAACATGCAGGTGACAGTGTCTTTTTTTTATCCAAGTTGCTCGCTGGTGCGCTCTTTCCCAGTAGTCCCGCTGCCCTCCTGTCTTACATGACCATTGGTCACCAGTTTCTCGAGCAGAACAGCAGTCTCATCTGAGACTGTAAGTTCGGATTCCACACGAAGATCCTCGCCTGTGAGATGTTCTGGTATCAGGCGTACGGTACCGTGCTTAGACCCTTTAACTACGGCGTCATACGCATTACGTTGGCAATATTAGCGCAGACATCTTAACCTTGCACGGGAGAGCATTTCATTGCTGACTCTAATGAAGAAATCTACTACTGCTTGCCTGTTTTCAGGGGCGTGATGGGTCCCGCGGTTATTATTGCCAAGTCGTCAACGTACAGCTGGATCTATTACGCCTCTACCACCGGCTCACATCCTAGTCATTGCTGCACATGTGCTCTAACGGTATAAGCCCCACTGGGTTCTAGAGATGCACCCCAATCCTGTCATCATCATGTACGGTGCGACCGTGTAGCCCTAGACTGTGCAAACCGTCACATCTCCGGTTGCTTCGCTCTTCTTCACGGGGGACATGCTTCGAAGACGTCCCGTTGTATTCGTGAATACAACTACGTTGTCGGCGCTGGTCTGGACTGTGGCACGGAGTTGTGCCAGACCATTGTTTTTTTAGATATTAACCCGACCGATTCATCCTTCCCATAGCGGTGGGACAACTGTTTGTTTCTTCTCGTAAAGGGGCAGTTGCGCCCTCTTCTCTGGCAGAACCTGTCTACTGACAACTGTCGCTTCTCAAGGCCAATCCAATATTTAGATTGATGCTTCCATCCTGACAACCTGCCACCGAAACACACTGAACTAATTGAAACCGCCAAGGCGCCTATTGGTTCGAGTTTGAGAGCTGATGTAAACCGAGAGCGACATGTTCGACGACCACTGGTAGTTAGAAGGGACATGATACTTAATTATGATCACTTTATTGTGATGTTGTTGCAGTTGTGTGACATGATATCGAAGAACCTCGTAAGACATATTTTAGGACTCACAACCCCGTAGGTCACGTGTTGGTCCCTAGATATGTGGCCCTGTCCCTGTTATGCCTCGCCTAACTTTATCCCACATACGAATTATATTCGCCGCCTTCCGCGGTGACCTCATATACACGTGACATATCACCGTGTCAAATCTCCCATGTTCGCAATAGCCTAGCTGTTTGGGATTAGCCCATATACAGCGTAGGTGATCGGCCTGGAACTGTTGCCCCTTAACGCCCCCTGTAATTAGATGCGACCGCGTAAATCTTTTGTTCTTCCTCCGGCTTTGCCGACTCATGTACTCCATCCATTCACCCATCGTTGAACGGACAATTACCAGTAACTTTTCTTGTCTGCGACAATATCACAACCTTTTTTGTTTTGCTCGTCGCGCACGCTTACGTTATAAGTTCTTGCAAGTGCTGCAACTGCCTCTTATCCTCTTCCAATTGACAATACCAGGCTACGCAATGGACTTTTACGAACTTCCTGGCCAGATGACGGTCTGGCTTGATGCTGCATCCAACACTTTCCAGAGAGTTCCTGGGTCTGCTGTCCTGATCCGATACGTCCGCTCTAGCTACCAGAACGACCCCGTCCGCTCAGCTATTGAGCTAATTCTCGTCATTTTCTTTATACGCTACCTCCTGTCCCCTTCGTACTCGACCTCTAAGCAGAACTTTATCAAGCTTAGCGAAGAAGTAAGCACACTTTCGACTGGCGACGACAATTCCTTCCTTGTCAAACCATTGTGCCGTCCTCTCTCCCTCCCCGGCTACCTACACGCGCTGACCATTGTATAACTCTGTCTAGGAAATTGACGAACTTGTCGACGAATGGACGCCCGAACCTTTGGTCGCTCCTTTGACCCCTCTCGAGGAGATGGAGACAGAGAGTCTTCCTGTTGTTGTCGGGTAAGACATCTTTCGACGCGGCTGGCAGACTTCGTATCCCTCCGTGGTCCTATGCTGACTGGTTGCTTTACATTCAGTCCGACCGGCCCCAAGTGCAAACTGTCTAACGGACGCACGGTCGCCAACTTGGCTTCTTCCAACTTTTACAACTTCAATGCCAACGAGATCATCAAGGAGAAGGCCATCCAGACGCTTCGAACATATGGCGTGGGCCCCTGTGGCCCGCCACAGTTTTACGGCACCCAGGACGTTCACATGAAGACCGAGGCAGATATTGCTGCCTATCTTGGCACGGGCGGTTGTATTGTGTACGCCCAGGCCTTCTCGACCATTTCCAGCGTGATCCCGGCTTTCTGCAAACGTGGCGACGTCATTGTGGCCGACCGTGCTGTCAACTACGCCATCCGAAAGGGCCTACAGATCTCCCGCAGTAACATTCGCTGGTACAATCACGGCGATATGGAAGACCTCGAATCCCAAATGAAGAAAATCACTCTGGAGCAGGCCCGCAAGAAGAAGCTGACACGCAGATTCATTGTGACGGAGGCTCTTTTCGAGAATATTGGAGATGCCACAGATCTTCCAAAGCTTGTAAGAAATTCTGCTCACCTTTGCACCCCTCTCAAATGATCTTGTGGTATTAATTGGCCGCTTAAACCGACTAATAACTTCGCTTTCATACATAGATTGAGCTCAAGGAGAAGTACAAGTTTCGCATCATCCTCGATGAAACTTGGTCTTTCGGGGTACTTGGCCGTACCGGTCGTGGTTTGACCGAAGCCCAAAATGTGGATCCCTCGCAGATCGACATGATTGTTGGTTCTTTGGCTGGCCCTCTTTGCGCTGGGGGTGGCTTTTGTGCCGGTGAAAGGGATGTTGTAGAGCACCAACGAATCACGGCTGCCGCATACACATACTCTGCGGCCCTGCCAGCACTTTTGGCCACAACTGCGAGCGAGTCCATCAGCCTGCTTCAATCTAGCCCCGAAATCTTGCAACAGTGCCGAGAAAATATCAAGGCAATGAAAGCGCAGCTTGATCCCCGGAGCGACTGGGTCACATGCACAAGCGCCCCTGAAAATCCGGTCATGCTTCTAGTTCTGAAACCTGACGTTGTTCGGAGCAGGAGACTCACCGTGGAAGACCAGGAAAGACTGCTACAGGAGTGTGTGGAGGAGGTAAGTTACAATTCTTTGGCTCACTGGAAAGTATGGTATTGGGTTGAACTTCATTCAGAACGCTAACTTCTCAGTCGCTTACCAATGGTGTGTTGATTACAAGACTGAAGACCCAACCCATAACCAGTGGCATGACTTCGGCCGAGCTCACTGAGTGGCCCGTTTCGCCTGCGCTCAAGGTTTGTGTTACTTCAGGCTTGTCCAAGAAGGATATCGAGAAAGCTGGAGTGACGATTCGCCATGCTATCACTAAGGTTATGTCACGCAGAGCAAGCACCAAACTTGGCTTGCCAGTCGCCGCGTAAGTTGCGGGCGGAAGAAATAGAATGAGGTCGGGCCAGCGCATACGCAATGTGTTGGTTGTGGTTATGCTCGCTGTGAATGTGGCGTTTTTATACTACATGGGTTGGGAAGACGTTCAAATTGCTCGTTATTTTTACGTCGACCCATAACCTGTAGTTTGTACTAATCGAAAGGTTTCAATGCATGGGTTGGGCATCGGCGTTGGCTCGCCGGAGGTCATGCTTTCACCACCCATTGCTGTTCTTCTTCCATACGTATATATACATAGATAGACTGGCAAGGTGCAAGACGGACAGCTCGCAACTTAATATCCATAGCACGTTGCGACTGCAATTAATGTTAATATTCTCACAGGATAAGCTTGTATACCGTGTGCTATTGACCGCCTTTTAAAGACACAGAATACTTTGTCCTGGTGGTCTTCTAATAGTTCGTAACTATTCTTGTCGAGTATAATTAAGACCTGGTATTTACTACGAAGCTATCACGGCCAAAATCTTAAACGAAAAAAGGCAGAGCTCATTTTGTATTGTGGCTATGGTGCTTAAAGAGAGAAAAGTCTAAAATCCCGTGTACTATTATGCTGCACCTTCTCCATTGAAAAATACATTTAAGGTAAAACAGACGAGAAGACAAAGTTGAGCAAAAACGTGGACTTCAGAAAGCAGACGTGATGGAAGAATGGAAAGAAGGACAAACAGTGTATAAAAAACCATGTAAGCAGCGACACAAAGCACAAAAGAGAGCAAACTTGACGAACGCCTCTGAGGCCCTTCAAAAGCAGAAAACACAACACGCGAAACAAAAAAAAAAACGAAAAAAAAACGAAGAAAAAACGCAAATCTCAAAAGTAGGACAACAATCCTGAGCTTGTTTGAACTGTCACTGGAACCAGGAAAGCAGCCAAGCTTGAACAGCATACTGACGATAGCCAGACTCTTAGTTTACACTTGCCAAATCGTATCTAAGCCCAAGCAGATTCAACGCAACTAGAATACTTAGAAAAGACGAATCTTAGCCCCGGCAGAAGCAGACGAAGCAGCAGAACCAGTGACAGTTGCCAGAGCGCCACTGTAGCCAGGCGCACCGGTGCCAGTCTGAGTATGACCCTCAGTATCGTTATTATTTTGGTTGTCAGGCTGCATGAGGTTTGTCGAGTTCAGTTGTTTGGTGATGCTCGAGGGAATCTTATCACCGGCGACAATGGGGGCGACAATGAGAGCGACAAAGATAACAAACATCACGAAGTAAAGAATGGCGTATCGAATGACACGTCTTCTCCGGAGCTTCGATTGCTTCATAGAGTAGATAGGCGGGCGAATTTGCCGACTATTTCAATATTAGCATGACGTTTCAACATGATGTGCATCTGTGACAGAACATACCTGGGTCGCAGCCAGAAGAGCATCATGGAATGCAGCTTGTCAATCTGAGGGACGAGGATGACAGGCAGCATAATGAACAAAAGAATGTGGCCTAGCACGAAGTCACCAGCAAACATGGAAAGTTCTGTGATCTTGCACAAGTACTCACGAGCGGGTTGAGACACGGAGTGCCAGCCCATGGAGTACCACTTGCCCGTCCAGAATGCGATGTTCGACTGGTCGCTCTTGAATTCTCTGGTCAGAGCAAGAGAGATAATCAGCTTCGTGATGAAACGCTGGATGGCAACGACGGTGATCATGCCCAAAAGTGTTCGTGCAAAGTTGAATCCTTCCAAAAAGAACATCACCTCGAAGAAGACCAACAACATGACCACCGCAACACCATGGGCAATAGCCGCCAATACACTGCCAAATTTCTTGCAGCACATGCTCAGAATTGGGCCCATGCAACAGGCCATAGCAAACATAGCAGCGAGGGTGCCAGCATTGACAGCAATAGGCGCAAATGCCACGATGGCCACACGCAGGAGAGAAGCAGTAGCTTTCGCGTCTGGGTTGTGCTTCAAGACGCCTGTCTGTGCGTTGATATAAAGGTAAGGAATCAGACACACAACGACGAGCAGCAACGGGGTGAGGATCTCGCTGAAGAAAATGTTCGTGATTGCTGCGCGGGGAACGTCGGCGGACAATTTGCCAGACGGGTCGCCAGCTGTCTTCCTCTTGTAACCAGTAATGCGTGTACGTGACAAGCGACTGTAGGCAATCCATGACGACGCATGAGAACGAGAGTTACCGCGAGACAACCAGCGAAGGAAATCGCGGTAGTCGATGAAGAAGTCGTTCCAGGCAAACTGATGCGGGTTGTACAAGAAGGGCGACACGATCAGGGCAAGTAAGGAGATCCAGAAGTATGTCAGAGCTGCTTGCCAAATTGTGACAGTAGCAAAAAGAAGCATCATCAACAGACGAGCGCCGAAGTAGATGGATGGTCCAGCAAACCGGCAGAAAAGCACACCGAATGGAATGCGTGCAGTTGCAAAGCCTCGGCCAGTACCGATGTAACGGGCACCACCAAAGGACAAGTCCTGTTGAACAGAATTGGCGTAGATCTGGCAAACGAAGACCTCGAAAAATGGAGAGAAAGAGAAGAACTGCTTTAGGAAACGGGTCACAGCGCGCAAGACTCCACGCTCCGTTAGCTCCTGGACAATGAGAGGGACATAGGACAAGAAGAAGACAAAGAAAATCGACAGAATACAGCGATAGACCCAGTCGTCAAGGGCATCGGTGTTCTGGCAACCGGTGGGGAAGAGCGGATCGGTGATAGGCACGTTGGTGTTGTACTCGCAAGGGATGGTCTCGTGGCGCAGTGCACCAAGGTTGATCAGGCATATCATGAACATCTGAACCGATAGCATGATGAACATGTTGTTCAAGTGAAAGCCAGGGTGGGCGTAGTAGAAAGACAAGAACCGATCTAGCGGCAGTTGTGTACCGAGGTAGTAGTATTCGCGGGACAACATCTGCTCACCCATGCCAGTACCAATCTTCGTAGTGAAGTTCAGAATAGAACCAAAACCAAGGTCACGACCCTTGCCACACTGGTAGTACTCGCAGTGCTTGATGCGACCACCACGTAGAAGAGCGTTCATGCCGGCATAAATGTCTTCGTTGAGATGAAGACCTTTCTGGGCCTTTGAGACACCACCACGCGTAGTCATGAAGATGCCATTGAGAAAATCGGGATGACCGTAGTGCAGCTTGCCACCGATCTGAGCCAGTGTACGGGCGAAAAGCGTACCGAATGTTTGCTCCTTGCCAGCAGCGACATCACCAAGAATACCGATGTTCTCAGAGAAAATGTACTCGCGAGCACCGAGAATAGCGACAGGGGCAGCAACCGGGTTTTTAACACCAGGTGTATAGGGAGACACATTTTCAGTCTTCATCTCTTCGAACTCGGCCAGTACACTGCGGATTTTGAGACACTCTTCGAGGTAATTGTCTTGGTTGGCATCGATCAGCTGAATATACTCGCCACGGTAGAAGATCAGAGAGTGGTTCTGGTTGTCTGATTTGCCATCGCCAAGAATAGGATTACCGGACAGCTGGATGCGAAACTTCGGGCGACGCATGCCGTTTTCCATAATTTCTGAATGGCCGTCAACGAGAGCAGAGTAGAGGCGGGGTTCCTCGCCTTCGCCGACAGGCGGCTCCTCGTCAAGATACGCAATTTGAAGGTCCGGGTAGGCGCGTAGTAGAAACTCGGCGTTCTCCATTTCTTCCTTCTTGAACTTCGCATAACGCTGCATAGAGACGATCAATTTGAACTTGCGGCGAGCCATGCGTTCAAGCTCACGCTCCAGCTTATCAGAGTTGCCACCAAACATTTGAACAACCTCTGGATTCTCTACACGGTAGAGAAGCTTGATAGCACGGCTGTAGTTCATGAAGCCAGAAACGGTGCGGTACAAAGTTTGTGTCCGAAGAGAGGCCCAAATGCGTGTACGTAGGGTGTATTCTGGGGCGGATGACTTGAAACCAATGCAGTAAAACGGAAGATCATCAATCTTGCTCTTTGCGCTGTCCTTCTCGTTCTTCTCTTGGTCGCTGCCACCGTTAAATTGAGACGTCTCGTCAGCAAGAATCTTCGTGTCCTTGACAAAGCAATCCCATTCGTGCGGGTGGAGTTGTTTCAGATATTCGAGCTGGGTGACTCGGGAATAAGGCTCGTCTTCGCGAATAATCTCACGCAACGACAGCAGAATCTTTTCACTGTAATGGGGGATGAGAACAGTGAAAGTCGGCATGTTATCAACAGGAAGCGGTTCAGGGATCGGAGTCGACAGCGATTGGGCGAAGAAGGAAATACGGCGCTCAGCCTCACTATGTGAGGGGAAGAATTCCGTCTTGAACGAATGATCCTCCTGCGACACGAAGAAAGTAGGCGCGCGCAAGGTCCGCTTGCCCTCCTGCTCTGAAGGAACCTGGTGGTACAGAAGCTTCTGAACGTGGTCGATAGCCAGCAAATGCTCGCGGTACATGGAGATAACAATGGCGTTCCAGATTTGAGAGATGAGAACCTTTGGCTTGTACTTGATTTCCATGTCGGTAGTAGCCAGGATCTTCGAGTAAATGCGCTTGGGCAAACGGGAGAAGATGTTGCGCCAAGGTGTCCAGATCGATGAACCAAGATAGAAAGATCGGGCAATAGAAAAGGCCGTGTTGAACAGGACGTACCACAAGAACGTGTCTAAAAAGAAAAAGATCAAGTTCGTGAAGCCCATGAGCCCAAGCAAAATCTGAGGTTGGTATTTGCAGAGGTACTGTTTCAAAATTGTGTCTCCGAGGCAGCTGTCGACATTCATGATGGCAAGATAACGAATCGAATCACGGAATGCACGTGTAAGATACACGTAAGACTCGCCCATCTTGGCACCAAAAACACAGGCCCAGAGAAAATACGACAGAAGCATGTCGTTGCCCTTAAGGCGAGGGTAACTGGCTGTGAACGTTTGGCTGGCGACGTAACGACGCGAGTTTTTGGTCAAATAGCTACCAAAAAGGCCACCAAGGGGCATAATCGCAAAAAAGAGAAACGTAATGACAGCAACAAAAAACTGAACAATGCCAAGAATAAGCGCTGGCTTGCTCTCTTGTTTCTTCGTATAGGCGGCCAGGTCTTTTTCGGGCATAAAGACGTAGACGCCGGGACCGAGGTTGATGATGAGAATCACTATCAGGAAGAGCAGGCGTTTCGTCAAGTGTTGAGCGCCGGCCCAGCGACGAGGAACATAGGCCCACTCCGCAAGGGTAGCCAAGATCTGAATGAGCGAAGCGATTGCTCCTCCGAAACCAACGATTGACCACTGCGCAGAAGCAGGGGGCGACTGGTTCACTTGTTGTTCATACTTAGGGACAAGAAGAGTGGGAGCGTTGTGAGATGTGTAGAACCACCAACTAGTCAAGTGAATGATCCAGATGCGGTTAAAATTGACAAGAAGATGGAACCAAGACCGCGTCTCTTTGTACGTCTTGAAGAAGCACTTCTTCCAGACGACATCTTGAAGCTTCAGGTAGCGCTCAGCAGGCGGAATGTCGACCAACTTCGTCTTGTCTTCGAAGACAATACGCTCAATGCCTTCGGGGTACCAGAAGAGCTGGTTGCAGTCATCGTAGCCGATGATCTTATTGTGGTCGCGCTCCCGACGAATATAGACTCCATTCAAAATCTCGTATCCTTGGTCGCGGACGTAGTTATACAGCGGGGTAATGACGTTATTGAGGTATGTGAGCTCCTCCACAGGTTCCACCTGGTTTTGGCAGGCCGGTGAGTTGAGGTAGTCATCGGCACACTTGAATATGAAGCACAGGCATTCAGGCATAAACCGGACTTGGTTAGCTTCACCCCAGCACAGAAGGTACAGTGCGACCTGGCGAACACGGTCGTGCTGAGACATGCCGTTCATGCGCGTCTTCCAGCGGTATTCGGCTGCTTCAAGTGACTGGTCGCCTTCCAGGTCCTCAAGAACCTGGTCCTCATTCTCGGCATCGGCCTTCTTGTTCTTGCGCTTCTTGCGTTTAAGGCCTCGGCCTTTCATATTGGCAAAGCCAACGGCATCGTCGAGATCCAAGTGAGCGGCAAAGTACCACTTCCGGTAATTGGCATTTTCGCCACCAATGTAATCGGCATGAAGCGACAGCAGAGCCTGGTTGGGGGTCATGCGCGAGGCCCGCGAGTCCAGCAGAGTCATGAGATGGTCATACATGTTCCGCATGCTGTCGCGCTGGAAACCGAACTTGGCGGTCAGGTCCATGAAGATGTCTTCAATCTCTTCCTTGGACAGAGGAATTTGAGCATCTGCAGTCCATGCAGGATAAGGTTCGCGCGAGCGCTGGCCTGCGGGAAGAACATTGCCGTAGTCCAGACCATAATTGGGAGTGGAGGCACCTGACGACCGGTTGTTTCCGTACGAAATCTGTGAGGACGGCGGGCGATAGCCGCGACCACCGGGAGGCATCTGGCCGTCATTGTAGCCGTTGAAACGCTCATCGCCACGGCCGTAGTAGTCCATGTCAGTGGCGCGGGCCATGTCCGAGCGCATCGTAAAGTCGCTGAAGGTCTCCGAGTCCTCCTCGGACGCATGACGTTGGCCACCATGAGCCTGACCGCCGGACTGGTCGTAACCCTGGTCGTAATAGCCATTGTGCTGGCCATGATGTTGGCCACCATGTTGACCATTATCATAGTATTCGTCTTGGTAGTGGTCCTGGTTCTCGTAGTAGCCTCCATCCTGGTGGTATGGGTTACTGGCATCGGCATTGTAATAGCCCCTGAAAATACACGGGTCAGACTAGGTCATAGAGTAATATAAGTTTGGCAAACCTACGCTTCGTCGTAATAGCCATCATTGTTATGTTGGCCATTGTGATCATAGGCACCATGCTGATCGTGATACTGTTGTTCGTCCTGATAGTACGGCTCGGCATTGCCCTGGTGCTGGTGATCTTGATGGCCGTAGCCATGATCGTAGTCGTTATGACCTGCGTATTCAGCCATTTTACAATTCCCTGGAAAGGAAAACAAAGCCGGATTAGTAACAGTTTGGCGGAATACTCGTCGACGCGAGATGCAAGACAGTAAAGTAGGATGTGAAATAAGAATCAAACTATGACCGCGGCTTACCTTATCAAGTGAACATGGGCAACGAAAGCTATTCAAGGATAAACCGGTGTTGCGGTCTGCAGAGCGATTCAGGAGAACAGGGCAAAGTGAGATGAGTGGTAGCTCCAAGCACCGATGTCTGGAGAAAATATGACAAAAAAAGGAGCCGGCCGCTGCGATAAAGCGTAAAAGCTTGATGGTTGCTGGAGTTGCGATTGAAATGAGTGGCTGGCGTGCCGTTACAAACGAATGCGAAGTTGAGAAAAGCGATGAATGAGGGTGGCTGAAAGCTAACTAAGCAAGATCTTGGATCGTGATCTGCAACTGAGGCACAAAACACGTATGTGGTTGTCGGTGTTTGTCTGAAAAGTCACGGACGCGAACCAAAGATGGAAGAAAACAGAAGGGGAAAAAAAGAAGCGATAGCGAGAGACTGGAAAGAACAAGGAAGAGATATCGGCTGCGGTTGTCCAGAAAGGCAGTTTGGAGCGTGACAGAGGCCACAGCGAGATGGCCGATGGCGGTTTGATCTGTACTGTCTTTGGCTTTCGATAGTTGGAGGGACTGAGACTCCAAGTGTCGCGAACCTCGATTTGACAGTGCAGAACGAGAGACTCGACAATGAAGAAAGAACACGCAGCAGGAAATGCGAAAAAAGGAACGTCCCCGTCGAGAGTTGAAGACGGCAAAAGAGCGAGTGACGAGAACAGGGAAAGACGACAAAAGGAAAGGGGAAAAAGTGAGAAGAAAGAAGAAAGGCAGGTCAAAGCAAGTGGCGCCAGGAATGAAGTAAAAGAAAGGGGAAAGGGGAGGGCGTAGCACCAAGGGGCAAACCAGGGGTGGAGAAGCCCACCGAGGAGGGCTGGAGGGCCCAGAAGAAAAAGTTGGACGTCGATTACGCTGTTGCAAAAACAGCCAGGGAGTGACGACGGAGCAATGGGCGATAGGGAACCGAAAGGGGGTTGGCAAAGTGGGCATGCGATCTTATGTTATTGGCTACTGTTCCCTGGGCGGGTAAAAGAAAGCAGGAAAGAAGGGCGGGCGATTTGGAGGCCCGCAACTGGTCTTCGCATAACCGGAATCTGGAAGAAGCACTTTACGGGTGGACAGTCTAGGAACAATCAAGGAACGGCTGAAGTAAGTATGAATTACGGGCAGTGAAGTATCTTACCAAGCCGTGCGCCGCTGTGTGTACCCTTGCCTTCCGTCCAGGCCCCTGACTGGGGCTGGCAGAGACGGGTTGGCAGACTATGGTCACGCCTGACACGGAGCAACGAAAGACAGGCTCGCAAGAAGGAATGGCCAAGGGAGTAAGAGGCAGCGTGAAGATGTCGTATGGCAGGCGCAATTCGACACGACAGGCTCAAAGTACATTCGTAGAGGAGCGAAAACAGAAAAGGGGTGATACAAATCCACAAACAAAGCTAGTATGGACGCTAAAGAGACACAGAGCGATCGAGGACAGCCCACTAGGCTGCTAGGGTAGGTTAAAGAAGCTACGAATCTAAGTTTAGCAAGTCGTGAAACAGGGGAGGCCGGACCGCCACACAGGCCGGAAAGACAGGAAATTGGGTGGGAGTCAAACTGTTACCAGGTTGTCAGTAGAGGTAGAAAACACGCCCGAGCCCACACACCCACATTTCGAAGTATTTAGTTGTAGGAAACAAGGGCTAGTTTTAATCCATAACAATGCGACCCACATTGCTGTGATGGGCGAGCTAAGGGACTCTTGATGTGTCTTACGATATACCGAGTAGTGACGGAGTACAAGCAGGGTACTTTTCGAGAACTAGTAAAAGCCGCTGGTAAAGCGTTGTAGAAGGTAGCTCAAAGGTATGCACGGTGCGCTCACATGAAATACGAACTGTGCCCCTGAACACCGAAACGCGTAAAAGCAGAAGAGGCGGACAAAATGTGTCCCCAACATCTGTTGCATGTGGGAATTACGACGTCGGACGGCGAAAGTCAAAGGGGAAGGGGCAGACATCTCGAAAGTATTACGAAATACTTCGTATGCCTTCCGGCACACATCATAACAGAATGTAGAGAATCAGAGACACAAAATGGAATGAGACAGAATGACACCCATGCAACAACACGGCGTTGCATGTATTCCGTACAGGTTAATACGACTTGCATCTCACAGCTTACTCCAGACGATGCGAGATGATATATACGGCGCCCTCTGTCTACCTACGTACCATAGCAATAAAACAAACTATATAGCCTGACGAGCACGCACGAGAAGACTTTTTCTTTGCACAGTAGCCACTCTGCCACTGTCGTCTCCATACTGAAGTATTCCGGGCGCCCACTGACATTCCATCGCCCCTCCTCTTTCTAATCTCGCGCAGGCATGCAGGTACTAGCCTGGAATTTGCCACGCTCATCCACTCGAAGAGAAAGAAAGAGTGGTTCTACCAAGACGACACGCATTGCCCTTGGAGGAGAAGCAGCAAGACACCAAAGACAACGGGGAATGGAGCGAGAGTGTACGTTGTACTGGGGACGAAACTCTGAAGTCGCTGGAATGCATCCTTCCACCAGTAGCAGACACAAGTAAATAAGGCGCCAGACACACAGGAAACCCGGATACGCCAGCCAATCCCGTTTATGCGCCGTGGCTCATCGAGATGCATCAAAGGCTAAGGTAGAAAATGATTAGAGGGCTCGCTTCCAAAAGGAAGTCGTTTGCCATGCATCCGAACATCTTCCTCCCTCGGTATCCTGGTGCCGGTCCGATTTTGCGCTTGACAATACTTTCTTTTCATTGCCGCTATGAAAGTAGTCATTAGTACTGCGTGCGGACCATTGCCTTGGGGCAAACCTATAATCCCAAACGGTAGCACAAGTGATAAATACTCACGCGTGCCGCGTATATCCAACCCGCAATTGTTTTCTTACATCAGATACCGGGATTCGTGGGCTTTCGATCAAAGCAAATTTTCACCTCTTAAGCTCCTGATTTCGTCTCGCCAACATTGGTCGGGGCACTATCATCGTCATTTTTCTCATTTTCAGCCACTTCCTGTGTCGTTTCAGGTCTTTCTTGCCTGCGCTTGTTTTGTCTTTTTGGCGCTACGTCCATAATCATATCCATTTTGGTCCTGGGCAAGCCTCCCATCGACGCCATTTCGATCGCGCAGATCACTTACCACCATTTCAACTCAACTAAGAAGCGGCCTCGTCAATGTCACTCATCAGTTCCACAATTGATGCTTGGTCATGGTCGTGTCAGGGCATTTCTTTCTTTGGAAGTGTCCAAAATCTAGCAATTGTGTGGAGTCGCTCACTAATGACCTTTGATACCCCTTCAATGAACTAAAATGCCTGCGTATGGTCATGTCCATCTCGCACTGGTAGATGGCGCCCTCACCGAATAGCGTCGCCTCCACATATACAACATGGTTAGCACAGCTTGCCCAGACGCATTGTATGGGAAGCCGAGAATCGGCCCACCCTCCAGGCCAAGATTACCATGGCATCGTCGACGGTCTAATCACTTCACTACGTCGTACCTTACATTACCTATAAATACCTGTAAAAATCATTTTAGGTCAGAACTTTGCTATGTCAAAGAAGTCCCAGCCACCCAGCCACCCTCTTCCGAGCACCTCTTTCCTCCCTGACTAGTCAGATGGGGCTCCTTCGGGACATTCGGTAATGATGCTTGATCCTTGGAATCCAGAGTTAGGGAAGCTTTCAGAGCTCATCCGGGGCAAACATATGAAGCCCAAATAGAAGTGCTTTACCAAGGAAGTTGCTTTCCAATGCTCGGCGTATGTAGGGGAAGGCAAGATACGCTTTTTTTCATGCCGTGCACCTGAACGCCACAAATGCGATCTCAAAACCGTACCACGACACCAAAGTGTAGTTCCATCAAATAAAAAATAGTTTACGCCTTTAAATGATGCTCCATAACAACAATGCCCACAGTATTATTAACGCCAATCGTGAGGTGAGTTCCTCGAGCCAGTGGGCCCTATTTCTTTTCCTACGGCACTTTTCAGGATACAGGACACAACTGTCTCGAGGTGTGTCAATGACAAGCAATGGGCATCGATTGTTGTGAGACTCAAATTTGTCACGTGACTGGTTGTCTTGCCAACGGGTCGTCTGGCGGGTTTCTTTCAGACGGAGCTTAGTTCTAGCATGTGCATCTTGCAGCGCGCAAGAATCGAATTGTCAAATCTGCCCCTGGTAGTATCACATAGCAGACCACGCGTCTTTCACTAAAACTATTTGTTGTTGGCATAAAATTTTTGAACGCCGTGACACCGCCAATATGGCACTGCGCCGCGTCATCATAGATAGTGATGACGACCTCGACGACTTTCCGTCCTTACGATCAATATTGCGAAATTCGACAGTTCCTTCAAATGCTCCTTCACAGACAGCGCAACCAGCAAAGTGGCAAGCAAAAAGAATTATCACGACGACCAAACCATATAAGGTCGAGATAGGGTCTTCTACGTCAGCCCCCAATACAACAATACGGCGGAGAAAGTTGGGCCGCATCAACGATGACGCTTCCCTCCTTCGCCTACAGGGAACCTCGAACAACAACACTCTCAAAGGAGAACTGAATAGTCCCAAGCTAGAAATGATTAATCTACCTCAGAGCTCTTCCCCGGGATTATCTCGATCAAAGCCACGGATTGAGCTAAGGGCAAGAAAAACAAGAAGGATGTCCGAGATATCAGCGGATGACAAGGGCGAGCTCTCCACAGAAGACGCGACAGTATTGCAAGACGTTTCTCTTGACGAATACTTCGGCGAATATGGTGCGGAAAAGGCCCGAGCGGGTGCTGCAATCAACGCTGATCGCAACGGTGAACATGGCGACGAGCCTACGGGTGATCAAAACGTCAATGAAGACAGCGATGGCTATAGTAATCACAAAGGGCAACATTGCCGCCTGGGCGAAGGGCAGAAAGACGATAGCCAAGGAGAGGCTGAGCCGACCGACCGCGGGCAGGATACGGACAGCGACAGCGAGACTTCGGAGTTCCGGGACTCATCTTGGAGTAGCGATTCATCGTCCGGCTCTCTGGGTGACTTTTTCCCGATTGCACGTACAAAGCGGCTTGCAAACACAAAACTACAGATGCCCGAAGAACATAAAAAAAGAGCGTATCCCACTCCTCAGTCCCAAACGACGGCGGACACCTACACGGATGACGGAAGCACCATTTTTTTTTCAGCCGAGGAGTCGTTTTCGAATGTTGGGCCAGATCTTAATGCGTCCAAGACCAGCTTGTGAGTTATATTGGGTTTTGGTGTATTTCAACAAACATCCGTGCTTACATACGATCTAGGTACCCATTCAAAACCGACACAGCGCCCCGGAAGCTTCCAACAGGGTCTGTATTACGGCCTACCACAGATGAGCGGCCCAAGACGCCTCCGCTTGGCCACCCCAAAAATTCTAAAGTCGAGCGCCTCCAGTCGCCCTCAAAAAAGCTACCGCGCATACCACAGACTCCACACCAGCCAAACACCGACGACTTTTGGAATCAAACTGTCACTGATAAGTGGAATATGGAGCACTCTCCACGGAAGCTTCTCTTTGACCCGGACCAGACCAAGATGAATAACCAGGCCCCCAACGGAACCAGAAACGCGGGGCCATCTACGCATTTCTTTCCCTTTTCGAAAAGGGGCGCAACTGCAACCAAACGGGGAAAAGATGCAAAAAAATTGTTTCAAAAGAACAAGCATGGCATGGCAGAAAAGTTCTTTGCAGAGCTTGATAATGTTATCACGGGCGGCCAACTGAATCAACTAGCGGCTTCAACAGGTGGTGTCCAGATCGAATGGACCAATAAACTCAACACAACTGCGGGGCGGGCGAACTGGCGGAGAGAAACGCTTCGACCAAAGGTAGCCCCGGTTGTTGACATTGAGGATGGTTCGACGACAAGCGTTGTCAGTACGGACATCGCAACATGCGTGAAGCACCATGTGTCCATCGAGCTAGCCGAGAAAGTCATCGACGATGAGCGCCGTCTTTATAATGTCATCGCACATGAGTTTTGTCACCTGGCTAACTTCATGATCAGTGGGATTACTGGGAATCCACATGGCAAAGAATTCAAGCTGTGGGCAGAGAAATGCTCGCGACATTTTGGTGACCGTGGCATACAAATCACCACGAAGCATACCTATGAAATTGACTTCAAATATGCTTGGACATGCGAAGAGTGCTCTACGGAGTTCAAACGCCACTCCAAGAGTATCCATCCGGAACGTCACCGGTGCGGAGCCTGCAAAGGAGTCTTGAAACAAACGAAGCCTGTTCCACGGCGCACTGGGATGAAAGACGAGTCTAGGGTGGGCGCGGATGGAAACGTGTTGATTAGAGGCCCGTCCGAGTATCAACAGTTCATGAAGGAGCATATGGCCATTGTCCGGCGTGAACACCCCAACAGTCCTCAGAAAGTCATCATGACACTTGTTGCAGACAAATGGAGCAAGGCAAAAGCTCATAAAGTAGCTTCTCACAGCCGACCAACAGCCGATGCTCCTGACAATGAAGCAGTTGCAGGTGTGGATGTTGCAGGTGTGGATGGAACTGAGGCACATGTGGACCACTTGGGCAGGGCCTTGGTTGATCTCACGCTGAGGTAAGTGCGATCCAGTGTCACTATGTAGTGAATATGTATATATCAAAATTGGAACCCATATGCACACAGGATAACACATCTGGGAAGTATATTCGTTGCTGGCTTGGCTTACTGTCTGATATCACAAGTTCATGGCTACGTGGAATGACACAGAATTAAAAGGTGCTGAAAGGATGTACCGGCCCTACAAAGCGTATTAAGTAAAAAAGGCAATACATGTTCCAATATCGAACTGAATGATGCCAAGTCAAGAAGCCAAACTCAATGGTGCCACGCCCGTGTGCGGTAGCACCTCCACTCTCTAGTGTTCACGTCCAATATTCCGGTCATATCGCCATCGTACTGTAGCACGTGGTTTCTTGGAAGTCTCTCGTTTCTGCATTTTACTTTTACTCCCCCTGTTAGGAAAGTCAAAATCACACCTCGTTGAAGAGATTCCAGTCTTTGACTTGAAACGTCGCCCATATGCGCGACGCGTATTCCACAGCATCACCAATAAGCTGACCTTGTTTGCCTAGTTGTAGGTCAACGTCTTCCTCGTCGTACTCGCCCTTGATGTGCGGTACGTTGATCGTAATCAGAATGTCGGTAGATTCCTTTTCGAGACGGAGAAGCGTCAAAATAATCGCCGTGAAATCCGGCGCGCTGCTAGCTGCGGCCTTGGGATCAGGGCGAGGCGTCTGAGTCGCAATCAAGGAGTATGCTGGGATGCTCTCGCTACGGAGCAGAGTTAGCTGGTGGAACAAGACTCTGTGCCGCAGCTCTGGTCAAGGAATGGGGTGTGAAAACGTACGGAAGTTCGGAGAACTGCGTGTCGGTGGTATTCCACACACGTACCGAGTCGGCATCATCGCCAATAAGCTCCTCGAGGTGTGTGGAGAGTGCTTTGCCGTCGATCTCGGCCGTGGTGCCGCTGGGGCCCACGCGTTCGCATATTTCGAAGATGATACTCGTAAAGCCATCCTTGTCGATATAGACCTCTTGGTTGTCGGGGACCTGGCGCAGTTTACTAAGGGATTGTTAACCATCAAAGAAGGACAGACCATACACTACCAAGCAGAAATTTCTCTCGCCGAGCGGCAGAGGCTATGGCTTACCTAACATCGGCAAAGTTCTCGGGCAGGTCAGCGACGATGGCCGAACCAAAAAGAGGTGTAGGCACGAACTCGGTCTTGGTCATTGCGGCGATGATCGTGTGGGCGTGTCGGGTATCAAGATTTCGACGTCTATATGTTGCGGTAAGACGAGGAGGCGGGCGAATGGCAATCTATTGTAAAACCAGCAAGCGGATAGATAAAGTAACAGTTGCAGGTATGCCTCGAGGTTTCTGAAAGGTTCGGGCGCGCAGTTTACAACAATCGGACTTTGGGGAGGGGATGTGAAATAAAAGGCGGGCCACTTCAACTTATGACAGTGGTAATGCTATTACGCTCATGTCCATTTCAGGTGCTAGAGAGGCGCAGCCTTGGTGTGCAGTGATTGATCAAGGCGCATACATCCATGGCCAGTGAATGGCGGGGTTACTGACGAAGCCTGGCTGTTGACATTGTCTTGTAGAACTGGGAAAAGTGTTTCCACATGAAAGTAGTATATAAGCAAGGGTAACAGAAAATTTCTAATTGGAGTGGGACTATCCTAGCGAACTCACCTCTTGCCTTTTACCAGAGATGACCGTGGGACGGCCCAAGAGACTCCACTCAATAATCTTTGGCAACCAACTTGAATCCGTTGGATTCGATTCGACTTTTTACCAATTACGAACGAAGCTTTTTTCTTTTCTTTTTCTTTTCTTCTTCTTCTTTTTCTTTCTTTTCTTTTTTGTTTTCTTTTTTTTTGTTTTCTTTTTTTTTCATATATATATATATAAAAAGGCACCGCCATTCTTTTCGCTTCTTCTCCTTCGCGTATAACTAGATCTCGTGTCACTGTAATTAAATTTTTGATTTTTGTAACTCTCTGCGAAAAAAATAATAATGTCATAATGTAATTAGTAGTCGCTACACAAGGAAACGTAGAGTTTATGTCATTGTCTTCCGGGGCATGTTGTATGAACGTTTCGCATATAATACTAGATAGCTCGATGTGTTATGTAACGTCAGGGCCAAGCGGGGTAGCTTGAGCGCTCCGTCATAGCGCCTTGACAAAATCCACCTGTCTTCTCCCGATATCCTTTCTCCCGGCAACGTACGACATACAGTTCTTGGCTTCTACACTGTAGTTATCATATGCGGTCATACGGTCTTCTCGAAACACTCACATCATCGCAGTAATAAATCCCAGCGTCACCAGTGAGCCACTTGCTACCATGGCTGCTTGTATCTTCTGTAAAATCGTCAAGGGTGCGTTCTTTGTCAGAGGGCAACAATGGTGCTGAAGCACGGACTCGTACGGATTCCCGAGACCTTTCCTATGCTAACACTATTTCACAGGCGAGATTCCCTGCTTCAAGCTTTTTGAAACCGAGAAATCACTTGCCTTTCTTGACATCAACCCGCTGAGTCGGGGACACGCGGTAAGTTGAGCCTACCACACGACGGTGATCTCTACTTTCAGTTGAGGGCGAGAAAAAATAAATTTGCTAATAGAAATCTGCTCCTCGTCCCATATTCCAGCTTGTCATCCCTAAGTTCCACGGCGAGAAGCTTCTCGATATCCCCGACGACTATCTCACGGATATACTGGTATGGTATCATAGCCCTAGCCCAACTCAGGGACTCGCATTCATTTCCAGTCGCGTGCCACTAATCCTACTTGGTAGCCTATTGCCAAAAAGCTGGCCAAGGCAATTGGCACAGACAACTACAATATCCTACAAAACAATGGCCGTCTTGCTCACCAAGAAGTCGATCACGTAAGGCCCATCTATCACATTAACCGTCGGCATGAGAGGGGGTGGCTAGGACTAACTCAGCAAACAGGTTCATTTCCACGTGGTAATTTGCCAATTCGTCCAGTCTACTTTTCTCGTCCTTCATAGGATCCTTGCTAACCAGTTGATAGATTCCTAAACCGAACCAGACGGAGGGTCTTGGGGTCGGTTGGCCCCATCAGAAGACCGACATGGACCAGCTGAAAGCTCTGTTCGAAGATCTCAAGTCACGTATCTAGATATTGGGTATCAATATCGCCACAAAGCCTTGGTCATGGTTCAGGCACATCGAAACTGGCTCTGACGCCATCTGACAGTCGTTTTGGTTCGAGATACATCAACCGCGCAGACGGAGACCGGTAATCTCTAATTGTTTCGTTTATATTTACCGTCATAAACACTGCACGACATTCAGAATTAGAGGTCTTCCCCTCTGACTCCAGTGTTTTGCTCAGATTAAGCTCTTTCTGGACGAAAATTCAAATAATTGATCTGGTAGCTGAAACCCTAAGTCTAAATTCCAGGGACACGACCAGAGCTGCATGGCCGGTGGCATACCTACACAGAGAGGATGTATCGGGCGTAGCCAGAGGTGACGAAGCAAGAATAATAACTCTAAACTGATCTAGAAATAACACACCCGCAATTTACAGGCCATAAAGCCACAGGGCAAAAGCGAATGCTGGGATAGAAATGGACATCATCCGTAACCCGAGCTCGTGCCCACAACCTACTCCACGTCGTCCTGTGCGATTGTGTTCCCGTTGGTCTGCGCCGTCTCGTCCTTGTTGGGCTTCGGGTAGAAGTCGACAGTTCCATCTGCACGAAGTATGCCAGTGCGATCATATAGCGAGCGAGCGCGAACGTAAGGGTCCAATTTCCAGTAGTGCTTGCGCAGCTGCTCGGCGATATCTTCCCTCGTATCGCGGGCGGCCTTAGCGGGCTCCCCATCATTGCTCAAAACCCACTGGGCAGTGGCCTCTTCGAATTTTCGGGAGAGACGCTCGCGCTCGACTATCAGCTTATCCCGATTGGCGGTGTCATTCATCTTATCGTTCTCTCCAGGTTCCGGCTCAAGGTATGTGTATTCCCAGTCCTCATCGCCATCCAGTTCTTTTATAATCTTGTCCCTGCTGATAAATTGCTCCATATCCTTGACATTGTTCGTAAAATGTACTTTACTTGCCACAACCGGGTCAAGCCACCCGCGAATAATTCTCCAAATGCCTACATACATATTAGCAAGGTGATCAATAATAAGCGAGGTGCGTAGGTAAACGGCAGCAAAAGATGCACAGTCAATCAGCATCGAGAACGTGCATACCTTGGAAAAGCCAAGGTGCCTTGTGTACCAAGACGGCTCCCAAGCACTCTGGATAATTTGCCTCGAAGCACTTGATCATAAACTTGACTGGAGAGTAGTCCTGATGCAAAATTAGCAACACGTCACACAAAGAAGCGGGTGTTAAACCTGCACAGTGCCACCGTAGCAAGCGGCTTACCATGTTGGCTAACGAGAATCCTGTCATGTCAAAGATTATGGTCTGGTTAAACAGTCATTTATTAGTAAACGATACCAAGTTGTAGTCACAGAGGCCGGAATGTTTGTCTGAAGGGATCGTGTTTACCGCAGTATCGACAGGTGGGCGAAGAGACAGGCGAGCTGTCTCAATGATGTAAACCGTGCAGCGCTCGACGCTCTGTTCGACCTGGTCGCCTTGGTGATGCAACCGAACGCGTACGATGCAAATGGGCCGGCCTTGTTTGTCTGAGCCATGGAGGAAACTCTTGCCCATGCGCATCTGAGCTAAGAAATCTTCGCTGATGGTCTTGGCCTTTTCATCGGTGGCAGTGGCCACTTCTTGAGCAGCGCCGCCGTCGCCCTTCAGCATGATATCATCGTCGACGTGCATGTCCCGTGCCCGCCAGTGCATAGTAGACACGAGCATGACAAGGGCCTTGTCAACATCCCATTTTCTGGCTCGGAGGAAGCGAAGAAAGAGTGCATCAGGGTGGTCGTGCTTGACCATTGCCCATAAGGTGTCACGAATGGACTCCGGGGTTTGGTTGGCTAGTGCTTCCTGGAATAGTTTGCTCTGGCCATACTTGTCATCCTCGCTTGCTGCAGCAAGGTCCACAGCGGAGACTGCTTTAGTCACAGTAGCGACAGACTCACCGGCCGGGTTGCCGTCTTTAGAACCACCATCCTTAGTGCCCCCGTCCTTCTTTGACCGCTTGAACAGGCTACGTTTTTTTTTCTTGTCCTTCTTTTTGCTGTCACTGGCCGCTGCTGAGCTGATGGTTTCAAGAACAGTGTCCCCCGTACCATCTTCATCGTCAGGCGCATCGGCGCCTTCCGCGGCAGAACCGGGATCGAAGCTAGACAAATCAATCTGGCACACCTTAAACACAGCGACCCAGAACTGGCGGAGCTTCTCCTCTTGTTCCGGTGTGAGGTTTCCCAACCGGCCTGGAGGCAATTCTGAGCTCATGCTGTAAAAGTGTTCTGGTGTGGTTGAGTTTAGATGATTTCCCGAAAACGACTGACTGCTTGACTCTGAAAGGGCGGTTGTCCTTGCGGCGTGGGAACGCGATGGAGATTCGCGGTCGATGGAGTAGTAAACTATAGCACCAAGCGAAAGCGAGACGGCTATCACAAGACCGAAGGTGCTGCTTGATGATTGAAGAATCCGGCTAGGCGGTGTACTGTACCTCTTCTCGTGGGAACTGTTCAGGACGCCTGCGGTACGCAGTTTCAAGGTCGAATGGCGGTAGGGCGGAGGTACTCCAGGACAAAGTTGGGCCCGGGTGCCAATTGTCGGCGATGTAGTGCGGATGTTCCGGAGAAGGAAGCTCATAGGACTCAATCGAATGTAAATCTAGTAGCAGCGGTGCGCTTTGCCAGTTAGTTGTGGAAGGTGCAGGTGAAATCAAGAAGAGCATTGGCAAAGGAGAACAAAACAGCTACGTGATTCTTTAAGATAGGTGTCGTACCTGGTGGTCAATCTGGGGTTACTAGGAGCGTTGATGTTTCGACTGCGTCGTGATATTCTAGTAGTAAGAAGTGCACTGACATGTGCAGACGCTCAAGATGGAAACAATCAGAAGAGAGCAACCAATGCCGAGATCGAGAGGACGGCGGATGTGAGCAGATAAATGCAGGTATTCAGCGCCGGAGGGATTTAGTAGGCTGGATGAGCATGTCGTCGCGGGGTAGTGCGTCGTAAAGCGGAAGGGAGACGCCGATCGATGTGTGACAAAAGGATAACCGGGAACGAATGCCTTAGGAGCTGGAAGCGACCAACGTGTGTTACAGCGATGGCGAGATCGAGAAAAACGAAATCAATTGCGGTTGCCAGAATAAGAATCGACGAGAGTGTTTTCGATGCTGAGCTTGGTGCGCTTTTGAGTGAGCGTTGTTGGCCCCAACGTATTGCCTTTGGATTTTGCGTTGCAAAGGGTGGTCTGGAAGGGGGGGGCTTTTGAGTTTAGCTCGGTAACCGAACCCAGCCATTCATTTCACCATCTAGTTTGTGCAGAAGCTGGGGTGTATCGCCTTTCGCCCTTTTTGATCATCAGAAGCGCCATTGTGAAGCTTACGGTGCTGTCCTTGGCCACCGGACCTCCCGGATACATGAAAATACGCTTCACCAAAGAGCTGCAGGAGGCTTGGCCCTAATTTTATGTGCGTCATAGTAACTTAACGGGTTTTACGGGAAAAAATAGAATCGTGTCCCCTGACTTACCTGCCATCTTGTATACGAAATACAAAGGATACATTGGGACAGCCCATCAGAAGGTGTTAAAGGAAGTTTGAGCTGGATATTAGCATTCTAGGGATTTTTATTTGGCCCCCGACACCTTCCTCGGAAAGCTACCTTTTCGTCGTTCTGCCGCTCGCTACCTTTTTTCTGTGTTGCACCAGGCCCATCGATTGAACCAGGAATTAGGCACGTGCCTGGCCCGTTCCCTTGCCGTTGATACACAGACTTGGGTCACACTTAGCTGCTCACGCGTTGTAGCGCGTTGAGGCGACGCGAACCCACTAAGTACATAAGGCGGAGGGTTTTACAGTGCGTAGTGAATGTATGCCGAAGTTGGTGTACATATGAAGACAACAAGTTTATCCAGCCACGGATTATTTCAGAGGGTTTGAACGAAGCCAACCGCGCCACCCAACAGGCTTGCACAGACTCTGTGTAAAACCGACTTCTTGCGCAGAGCTTGATCTGAGCCCGGCTGCCATCATGTCGTTTGAACCGCTTGGTTCATCCGGCCGACAGGAGTCTACGTCACGCACGCGAACGTCACGCCCTACCACGCCACTTCGAGCATCGTCGCGCTCGTCATTCCGAGAATCTGCCCGAGGTAGTGTTCTCGGTGACGCACAGTTTCCACTTAATGCATTCGAGCCAGCTTTTGCAGAACTTTCGGAGGCTATGGCTGATTTAGAGGCGAATATGATGCACTTCCAGTTGATGCATGAAAGCCTCGCACGGTTTAGCGAGAGCTTCGCCAGCTTCATGTACGGCTTGAATATGAACGCCTACTGCGTGGACTTTCCCGAGGTGCGTACCGCCAAACTTGCCACTTGAATTTCATGCTTGCTTGTCTTGTTTTTCTGCTAAATCAGACTTTCTGCCTGCAGGGTCCCGTCTACGAATCGTTTAAGAGAGTCAGGCAGAGGGAGGAAGCGGCAGGAGCCGACCATGAGATAGGCGGCCTGGCTGGAGGTGAGTAAATACCCGTGTCTATTGACGAGCGGGTGTACATATTCGCATCAACAGGCTGATGCTGTTCTCAGGAATTCTCCGTCCAGCGGAAAGACTGACTGGAGACTTGGATGGCGAGACCACATTTATGTGAGTTAATATGCACGTACCCTAAACACGATATGTGGCACGCACACTACTGACCTTGGCGCCTACTCGCCAGGACTACCGATACGTCTTTTGTCGACAACCCTCCTGCTACGGCTCCTCGAAATACGTCCCGGCTCCAGACCGCCAGGCCACCACGTGGCAGGGGAGGCGCTAGCCGAGGCTCTACAGTAACAAGACGTGGTGGGCGGGGAGTGCCGGACACACACGGAGCACCGAGTACACGTGGCGGCCGCCCTAGTGGGCTGGCGAGGGCACGGGGTAGAAGTGTTCGCTAGATAGAACCGAGAAGCAAGAATTCATCGGTTGTCAATTAGCTGATGTGCTGTGACTTTCGCAAATCTGGGGCAAATTTGCAGCTATCCGCATACCCCGCTAATTGCAACGTCATAGTGAACAACAAAAGCTGCCGCGCGCGGCGTCGTCTGGCTCGACTGCCGAACACTTTCTATCGCCACCCTTCACCTTCCAAGGAACGGCTGCTCCCCTTGCTGTCGACGCCACTTTCCATGTCTGCTGCTATCCGGTACGTTCCAGCTGCAAAATATCCTGCTGCTGGGATCTTAATTCTGCAATGTCGTGTCAAGCCTGGCGCGAGCAGAGTGCGCGACGGCGTTGTAGCTGTTACCGACGGCGCTGTTGAGATTTGCGTTGCAGCGCACGCACGCGATGGAGAAGCAAATAAGGCTGTTGTTCAGGTGCTATCTCAGGTAACTACATCTTGCTCCTTGCCAATTTCCCTTGAGAGACATGAGTGGCACCTGACAGTTAAGATTCTTGGGGTTCCGAAGTCCAGTGTAAGTGTCACCCGCGGCACAAGGTCTCGGGACAAAACTCTTTCTGTAACTGGGATGCTGGAGACTGGTACAGAATATGGTCAAGTTTTGGACCGCGTGTTCAAACTACTGTCTAATGCGGCAGCATAGGATAAGCCTCCCAAAGGTAATGCCATTTTAGCACTGGATTATCACGGTTCACAAGTAACTACATATTACATATCGGAGTGTGCAGCTGACCTGATAAGGCTTGTTTTCACTGAAAGTACATAAATAAATAAAAACTCGTAACCCGTCTAAGCTTTTCATATTGGTAAATGGCACATAACCAAAAGTCACACGTCTTTTTAATGTTGGGCAAGCAGCGTGCCATTTTATGGTCAAATTAGAAGGCTGGGCTGGGTAAGGCTCCACAAGTCCTTATTGGCCAATGCCCAGAGGCTTCTGCTTGTCTAACCTCCTTTCCCCTCTTGATGATGTATGTTGTACATTATAGACACCAAAGCATTCCGTCTCGCGCAGTCTCCATTATCACAACTCACGGCCAACAAACATTTACGAAGCAAAGAGTATCCCCTGAAGGCAACCTTTTTCCTATAAAACTCACAACAACGTCCAAAATGGCTTCCCGTTTGTTCAGATCATCTATCACTGCTGCCCGCCTGGCGTCGGTCCTACCGCGGGCGACCACTGCGCCTTTAATCCGCCACTTGCACGTTGGCCGGCCTCTTTTTGTGAAAGTTGGCCAAGAGGTGCCCAATCTGGAGGTCCTTGTCGAGGACAGCCCGGGTAACAAGGTCAATCTCGCCGAGGAATTTCAGAAGGGTGACGGCCTCATCATTGGCGTGCCAGGCGCCTTTTCTGGTGCTTGCTCGCAGACACATGTTCCTTCATACATTACGCACCCCAAGCTGAAGAACGCTGGGCAAGTCTTCGTTGTGTCCGTCAACGATGCTTTTGTGTGAGTGTATCTGTCGGCTGGCTATTTTCATGTTCCGGCGAGCCGAGCACAGACTGATTGACTACGTAGGATGAAAGCGTGGGGTGACTCCCTGGACCCAACTCATGACTCTAAGGTACGTAGGATACTTCAGAGCAACATTCTCGGAACTTGTCACGGTGATAGACAGCTGACGGCTTGTTAGATCCGATTCTTGGGCGACCCTGCTGGTGAGTTCACCAAGGCTCTAGACCTTGATTTCGATGCCTCTGCTTTTTTTGGCAACGACCGCTCCAAGCGCTATGCTCTTGTCATCGAGAACGGTAAAGTCAAGAGTGCCCATGTCGAGCCCGACAACACAGGAACGGATGGTATGTCTTCTTGGTTTTCACGCACCCCTACAAGTCTTGACTCCCCTCCTTTTCCTCTTTGGAAATGCCAGGTGCCCCCGATCCGAACTGACTTGTCTTGCAGTGTCGCTGGCCAACAACATCCTTTGAACCAGTGGAAGCCGATAAAGTGAGGCCTAGAATGCGGTTGGCGATCGTCCGACTGACAAGTTCGTGCCGCTGGGATGTTGGATGCGAAGGAATAGCAACAGATATGGGGGATGAAGCGGGTTTCTGTTCTTGGAACAATTCTGCTTACGGCGTATGAAGCACATTTCATATGACTCAAATGTGATGACATTTTGAACTAGCTTGACATTCTGTACTTCGTGACCTGTGCAGCCCTGTATTAAGATTTCTTTGGGGGGGCCTGTCGCAGCACCAACAAATGCACTGAAAGCCGAACGGCGACCAAATTTCACACACCAAACTACAACTCACGTGACATGTCGTTGCCTACCGTGTTTGTTTAGGTTTCTTTGGGCTGAAATGACGGCGATAAAGTGACAAATAGGCCTGACAAATGATGCCTGGCACTGTTAGAGTCGCGCGTCGCAGGGACCTTTGTATTCTACCAGGTTCCAATCCGTCCACAGTCGCCGTCCTTGAGCACCAAGTCACCGTCCCCTGTGAAACAGGGGCGGTGTCTGGTAGCGGGCAGCCGAACACTGTATTTCCGGCGCCTGGCTCCGCCCCTCGATCACATTCATTACTGTACCTCGCCTGCTTTCTCTTTATCAACAATCTCCATCGCTTCTCAAATCAGCCCTGCTCTTTGCTGCCTTGCGAATCCGTATTCTGTTCGACCTTTGTCTGCGTTTCTTCATTTCGTCAAATCATACGCGCTTCCAACGTCACTATTTCCTTTGTTCATCCCTCCCTCCGGGCATAGATTTTCTTTTCTACAGACCCATCAAATTCTCGTTGTCGCCTGGCACCCTCCACCTCTCTTTCTGTTGGTTCTTCTCAAATCGGAGTACCTATTAGGCATCATCTCTTTCCTCCCTTTCTTCACCTCCCACTTCATTTCTCGGACGGCTCGTCAAGGTTTTTTGACGAGCTTAGAGCCACCATCACCATTCCTCGACTACCAAAGCGGAAAGCCGCTGAGGCGACGGCAACCACCGAGGGCCGCTCTCTTCGCCAGAGGAGACTATCGCCCGAGGGCTTGAAGCAAGCCACAGACACCAAGGCGCCTACACCGGCGACAACGGCGACAGCAACCAGAGGTACTAGGAGTACGAATCTCCCGATAATCTCTGAGGGAGCGTCGAAACCGACACCTGCTTTGTCTTCTCCCCAGGACGGACCGCCGACACCACAGACGGCCATTTCTACCGCCATGGAGTCCGACGACGACTTCTTGTCGAACATGTCAAGCGAGGACGATGCTATGCACGATGATAGCGACAACGGTTTACTGTCAGGAGGTGAAGGTACGTCTTTGCTTCTTTAAAACCCCTTGCCTTCTGCCTCATTCCCCGATCTCCTCTAATGCACGATTATGACACATAGATTTTGACGACTTCGAAGAAGAGCCGGATGACATCGACATCGACATCGTTAAGGATGTAGCGGCCGACGATAAACGAAAACACGCTTATGAAGTCGATTTTAAAGTCTATGAACCGAGGGACCTTGACCGACAGCAGGAGGAACTCATGGACGAAGTCAACATGATCCTCGAAATGCGGCCCGAAGACGCAGCTATCCTCCTCCGCCACTTCCGTTGGAACCGGGAGCGTCTCATAGAGGAATACATGGAAAGCCCTTCCAATGTTCTGGAAGCCGCCGGGCTTGGGGCCGACGTTGTCGGACTGCCGAGGCTGGAGGTCATTCCTGGTTTCACTTGTGACATATGTTGCGAGGACGGCGAAGGATTGGAAACTTTTGCATTAAAGTGCGGCCACCGTTACTGCGTGGACTGCTATCGCCAATATTTGACACAGAAAATCCGCGAAGAGGGCGAAGCGGCAAGAATACAGTGCCCCACGACCGATTGCGGCCGCATCATTGACGCCAAGTCCCTGAGCATTCTTGTCACCCCGGACCTTTCTGATCGCTACCACGAGCTGCTTAATCGCACGTACGTCGAAGACAAGGATTCACTAAAGTGGTGCCCTGCGCCCGATTGTGAGAACGCCGTGGATTGCCACATCAAGAAAAAGGACCTAGACCGCATTGTCCCTTCTGTCGAATGCAGCTGTGGCTACCGTTTCTGCTTCGGCTGCTGCCTGAAAGACCACCAGCCTGCTCCATGCAAGCTTGTGAAGCAGTGGTTGAAGAAGTGTGCCGACGATTCCGAAACTGCCAACTGGATTTCAGCAAACACAAAGGAATGTCCGAAGTGCAACTCAACAATCGAAAAAAACGGCGGCTGCAATCACATGACTTGTAGAAAGTGCAAGCACGAGTTTTGCTGGATGTGCATGGGACTCTGGTCGGAGCATGGTACCAGTTGGTACAATTGCAACCGTTTCGAAGAGAAAAGCGGCACTGAAGCTCGTGATGCACAAGCAAAATCTAGAGTTTCCTTGGAGCGATATCTGCACTACTACAATCGATACGCAAACCACGAGCAGTCAGCCAAGTTGGACAAGGATATTTACACACGTACCGAACAAAAGATGGTCCAGTTGCAGACCTCTTCAGGCATGTCTTGGATTGAGGTACAGTATCTGAACGCCGCGTCACAGGCGCTGCAGACCTGCCGCCAGACGTTGAAGTGGACATATGCTTTCGCTTTTTATCTTGCTAGGAACAACATCACAGAGATGTTCGAGGACAACCAAAAGGATCTCGAGATGGCCGTGGAGGCACTGTCGGAAATGTTCGAAAAGCCGGTCAGCGATCTGTCGGAGGCCAAGATGAAGGTGGACATCATGGACAAGACTGCGTACTGTAACAAACGGCGCGTGATTCTCCTGGAGTACACGGCAGACAATCTTGCACATGGTGAGTCTGCGACATCTCAATCCGCGAGCACTTCTTTTACTTGACTTTACCTTTTACCGCTAACCACTATAGGACGTTGGACGTTTAATAACGACCACAATTTGGCGTCTGTGGTGACGGCTAAACCCGCAGCAAATGCGCGACCGTGAATAAACTACGAAGTGCTGGCGATCGCAGCTGGCCTCAAACCGCCATTGGAGACTTGGCGGATATGTGTGGCTCCTGCCATCCACCTTCCGGGTATTGTTTTCGTACCACGATTGGCCATAGATTTGGTGGGGGTGTATGTACCAGAAGGCATATACAACCATTTGGCGAGAACAGGCATCAACGGCATCTTTTAAGCCCAACCGAGTGACGAACATACCGTTTTGCTCAGTGCTAATGCCATGTTTCGAAGAAAGCGCATTAGCTTCTCTGTACTACCAATACATTACTGAGTGAGCGTCAACGGGCGTTTTCATGACTAAAGTTTCTCTTTTCCAGTCGTTTGTTTTGAAGCTTCTTTGCTTGTTTCGTTCTGTGTCCTGGGAAGTTGTGGAGTTTTCAGAGTCCACGTCTTGTATTTACTTTGTTTGCTGGAGTTTTCTTTTATGCGGTAATGCCTGTATTCCCTCCTGTGTCATTCCGCGCACCTGTGTGGGTATTGCTGATGTCTGCTCCGGAATGATGGTGCGTCGATGCTCGGAATGGGCTTTGTAGTATGTCGTTTTTTAGCGTCGTGTTTGGTGTTTCTAACTGCTGGTGGTAAAAAGAATCGGAACATTATCACGTGACGACACAACCCGAGGAGGATTGCCGAAACTTGGCGCTTTTCGGGTCGGGTGTCTTCAGCTTGCCATCGGAAGATCATGTTGTAGTTTTGTTTACAGGCCAAGCCAAGTCAGGGCGCTTTTACAGAAGCCAACTTCACAGTAGGCAGCTTTTCCCCCAGTGCACAACCTAACTGAACACAGAAGGCGCCCTAAAAATGACCACAGTGGCGCTAGCGGGCATAGAGAAAACCCGCGTCTACGTAGACCTTTAAGACCATATCCTCGAAACCTTTTTTGTGTCGCATCGTTTGCCGAAGATTGTGCGAAGTCGGCGAGGACAGGGCAAATCGAGAATGTGGGGAAACAAACCTCTGGGCTGACCTTTTGTATCTTTTCTTGTAGTGATGGGAAGCATCGGTTCTTGGAGAGTATACGGTGGCGACGGCAGGCGTCACTGAACTGTGTTTTTGTGGCTGCGGGGACCTGAAAAGGACTTGTTTTGTTGTCATGCATTTTGTGCTGTGGCAACTTCTATTTTGTTTACCATATTTACGAAGTACGAATACATCGTAGCGAATGGGAAATTCAATTACCGCCGGCATATGTTTCGGCCAGAAGCGGCTTCACTTGGCCGCCACTCTTAGCATTCTGTATTGGGTAGTCGCCTCGGGGACTGGGCGCCGAATGACGAGCCTGCCTGGCTGGGGATATAGTGACTTGTTAGTCTGCGTGAACGTTTAGCCATATTTTCCGCGACATATACCTTGCATCTTCTGGTGCGAACTAACCCTTCCGACTCGCCGTTGTATCTCGACGTCTACCGACATCCCGTTCTCTCCCGGGCTTTGTGGTTGAGTGCATCTGCTTTTCTTGACCTTTATGGTTAGTTTTCATCGCTGTGGCATGTCGTTCTGGTGTCGTTGTGGCCGTGGTTCCTTTCTCGTCGCTTCCGTGACAGCAGGTTGTGCCTCTGCGCAAGCGATCTAATACCCTTCCTTTTAATACGGCTGGTCCTCGGTCTGATGGGCGAATTGTTGTTCCCTAAGCTTTGTCGAATTCCACAATCCCCCCCTTCTCCAATTCTTCCGCCTAACACAAGAGCATGCTGTGACCTCGTCTTTCTTTACTGGCTCTTTTGCGATTCTTTTCTGCTTCTTGTCTACGCTTTCTTTTCTACCCTCGTTATCTGCCCACTCATTTTGTTTCCTTTTCTCCTCACGCATTCCTCGTCTTGTCCCCCCCACCCTCGCAACTGGTGCACATCGCCTTCCCGTCGTCAGTCTTAGCATCTTTCCTTGAGCCTCCTCCACCCGTTTGTTGCTTCTCCGCGTCCAATCTCATAAGGCAGACCGCGATGCGTTCGGCAGGAAACTGCTTAAAGAGCCTGCGGGCCTACTCTAAATACGGCAGCAACGTAAGTCGACTCAACAACGCGCGGGTAGTCATTAACGGTACTGGTTACTGGTCACTGGTTGCTGCGAACTGATAGCTAACACGACCGATAGCATGGCGCGCTGCTTGCCCGGGCCTTTTCAGTTACGGTGCGGCGAGCTGAGATCAACAAGGTATACCCGTCAGCGGCCGAGGCTCTCAAGGATATGAAGCCCCACTCGATTCTCATGTGTGGCGGGTTTGGTCTTTCGGGTGTGGCCGACACGCTGATCGAGACCGTCGCCACCATGCCACACATCAAGGGCCTGACTGCCGTCTCCAACAACGCCGGCACGGACGACAGCGGCCTCGGCAAGCTTCTTCAGTCGCGCCAGGTCAGCAAAATGATTGCCTCGTACATTGGCGAGAACAAGACGCTCGAGCAGATGTACCTCAAGGGTGACATCGAGCTTGAGCTGACCCCGCAGGGCACACTGGCCGAGCGCTGCTCTGCCGGTGGCCGCGGCATCCCGGCCTTTTTCACACCGGCTGCCCTCAGCACCGTTGTGCAGACCGGCGAGCTGCCCCTGCGCAACAACCCCGACGGTACCCCTGCCGAGTTCTCCACGCCCAAGGATCTGCGCGTGTTCAATGGCAAGGCCTACTTGATGGAGGAGAGCATTGCTGGCGACTACGCATTCGTAAAGGCCTACAAGGCCGACCGTCTCGGTAACTGCCAGTTCCGCCTCTCCGCGCACAACTTCAACGGCGCTATGGGCCGCAATGCCAAGATGACTATTGTCGAGGCCGAGCACATTGTGGAGCCCGGTGAGATTCCGCCCGAGTCGGTGCACCTTCCGGGGATCTACGTGAAGCGCGTGGTGCAGAGCACTGCTCCCAAGAAGGTTGAGAAGTACGTCTGGACGCTGGACGAGGCCGACGCCGCCGAGCAAGCCAAGAAGACGCTGGGCACCGGTGATACGGCTGCCAAGCGCGACCGCATTGTGCGTCGTGCGGCCAAGGAGTTTAAGAACGGCATGTACGCTAATCTTGGCATTGGCATGCCCATGCTGGCGCCCAAGTTTGTGTCTGCGGACGTCGAAGTCCAGCTGCAGAGTGAGAACGGCATCCTGGGCCTGGGCCCGTACCCAAAGAAGGGAGAGGAGGACGCCGATCTGATTAACGCTGGCAAGGAGACTGTAACCCTGAAGCCGGGTGCGTCGGTCTTCGGCAGCGAGGAGAGCTTCGGCATGATTCGCAGCGGCCGCGTCAACCTGACAATCCTCGGCGCTATGCAGGTCAGCGCCAACGGCGACTTGGCCAACTGGATGTTGCCGGGCAAGGTGAAGGGCTTCGGTGGCGCTATGGACCTCGTCAGCAACCCGAGCGCGACCAAGGTGGTGGTCACGATGGAGCACACTGATAAAAAGGGCAACCCGAAGATTGTTAAGCAGTGCGCCTTCCCATTGACCGGCAAGGCCTGCGTTTCGCGCATCATCACAGAACTGGTACAACCATACCCTCCCCCAACCCGCCCCCTCTTTCTATCCTATGCAACTGTAAACCGAATCCATTGACTAACAATGTGTCACAGGGCGTTTTTGATGTCAACTTTGCCAGTGGCCTGACCCTGGTCGAGATTGCAGACAGTGTTACTGTCGACGAGATTCGTAGCAAGACCGAGGCGCCGTTTGCGGTCGCCGATGACCTGAAGCCGATGCTGTAGGTGGGCGTTTGAACTTGTTGAGCGCAGTCCGCATACGTGCGCCTTGGGCGGGCTAATATATTTGTATGTAAGATACATATGGTTTATGCCCTAAATGTCACGTTGGTAATGAAAAGAAACCTGGATTTGATAAATTAATTGTCTCCGTCCCCCCCAAATTTCCGAAGCGTTGTTGTCGACACGCATTATACGCTACTGCTGATCACTAGCCACTTTCGGTGGTTGTGTTTGGGCCCTCGAAATCCCGTTTCAGACAGGACACCGACTAGACTTAAAAGTCAAAACACAGCACACTCCTTGCCAACCAAGAAACGTTGAACACTCCAGACCTAACGCCAACGTGGTACAGTGCTGCACGCCACGGAATGATTCCTGTAGCCAGTCCATACACCGTCTATGTGGGATGGAGGGACTGGCAAAAACTCGTTCTGCCAGTGGAGTCCTTCCAGGCCTGACGGCCACAGCGCCTCGGCAACATGGGCGGACTGGACGACCAGCCACGGGACCCAGAGGCCTAGGTGCGATGGCACTGGCTGCGCTCGCAAGTAACCACGATGCACTCGGTTCGGAGCACATAGCAAGCCTTGGTGAAAGGCAGCAGAAAGCTCTTCGCAGGGCCTTGACGAATAGGTAAGGAAATAACCGAAGCCGCAACTTTGGTCGCAGCCAGTCGATATATGTATGTCCACGTTGCTGACGTCTCCGTGTGCTCCAAGCCGCGATTTGTCTCTGCGTCTATGGAGAATGTTCCTGCCTCTCCAGTCTAAGAATACCTCGCCCAGCAGTGTCGAACCCCTGTCTGAACCGAGGCGTGTCCACCTCTACTGTACGCAGTACCGGCAGCCGCGCAGCTCTCTCGATGTTTATATTATCGCGCTCAGTGCCCCACCCTACGAATTCATTGCCCACCTACGCATTGTAACTCCGGACCGGGCTGATTTTGGCGTTCCGGAGCTGATGAAGCTGGCTAAATTGCCAAACCTAGGAGTGCTTGAGATCATCGAACGCGCACCGGATCGTGCTCCATGGGACCAGCTAAGGCTTAATGAGGGGATGCATGGGCAGAGTGCAGACGCTTATCTCGACCCGCAGCAGGTCAGCGATCGACTGGTCAGGGGCTGGAGTCTGACGCGACCAGATCCGTTTCCGGCTCTGCGCGTGCTCCGGCTTTGGGGATGCAGTGGTTACATATTAACTCCAGCGTGCCTGCAGAATGCAGTGAAATTTCCGTTGTTGGCGCTCACAGTTGTGTCCGTCCAGTACAACAACCGTCAGGCCACGCCGGACACATGGTCAGATGCCTTGCTGACTGCTTCGGCGTCCGGCTGGACTGGTCTTTCCCTCTCGAGGCAAAGCTCCCAGTACAGCATTGCGACAGAGGTACCGCATAAGAGCCCGGATCCGTATATTTTGACACTCAACATGGTCGAGGATCACACTACACCGGTGGAAGCTCTACACTGGGGTTCGCACCTGTATTCGTTTGTAGCTAAGACGGCTTACGATGGCCGTCAGTTTGAAGATGGCTTCCTAGCGGCAGCTGCAACTGAGCCCCTTAAAGATCATTTCGCGTTGTTGAGCTTGGGAAGCGACCAGGGCTCCAGGAACGACACCATCTCTAGACAAGGAGACAACGCGTTTTGTTTCATCCGGGCGCGTGATGACAAACCTTCGCAAGCGGATTTCAAGACGCGGAGAAAGACAGCCACGGATTCAGTTCTGTCGAATGGCCAACGCCGCAAGATACAGGAGCAGTTGCAGCCACCTGCAAAAAAGGCTAAGGGAGGGAGGAGCATCGGGAGCATGCTGGACGACTTTCTTGCGTAGGGGTTCCGTTCAGGCACTCCACGGACCTAATACGGGGTACACATTATGCCAACGAAAGTGCGGTACCCGTGTAAGCTTGTATGACGCAAATATATCGCTTGATGCCGCATTCCTTTCCTTTGCAGGACAGAAAAAGAGATCAAGGCCCGAAAAGGGTTACTAAAGCGCCGATTCTCGTAAGAAATTCCTCTGTCCTCCAATTTCCCCTCCAAGGCCTGCCACTGAAGAATGACGGCTAAAGCCAGAGTGAATATGAAGGAGTATGTTTTCGTTTTATGTTGAGGGAGAAAAAAAGAAAAAGAAGAAACCACGGAGAAAGTTTCAGTGGGATCCGATTTTAAAGTTTAGTTTGGCGGCCAAGAAAAAGCGGGTCTCTCGTTATATTGCATAATCGTCTAAAAAGTCGAATTTAGTAAATCGTACATGGCCGAAAATGTATGCTGTGGCGCCTAGGTTTATCCTCCCAGCCACCGAATTGTATATCACGTGAAAGATCACATGATATGCCACGTAAGCCACCCTTCTGACATCTGATACTCGTAGCAGTGCACCATACAACGTACGGGTGTGTCATTAGCAAGGGAGTCATGTACGTGACTAATACGAATTACTTGTTTTAAGTGGATTAGCGTCCGCGAAATTTGACATGCTTTGTCCTACACTTGGAATAAGGAACAATGCTCAGTAGTGAAGATCCCGGGCGGCTTTGTACTGAGTTCAGTGTGCAATGTTGGGCAGAAAGTACTAGAGGGCCAAAAACTACCCCTCATTTTTATGCAACCGCATGTGCCTCGATGTTGACTCTTTCACGTATTGAACCTCCAATGGTTGCCCCTCATCATCCTCTGGCATTTCACATTCTACGGCCCTACTTTGAAGCATTTCGTGGTCACACGACGGCTTGTTTCTGCTGCTCTACAATTTCCTCTTTACGCAAATAACCGTCCGGCACTCCTCGACGTTTCAACGCAGTTATATCGCACTTGCCTATTCTCTAGCAGAACTGACAGTTACAACCTGGGCCGCCCGATACATTCCATTTCTCCCCTCTTATCAATTAACTTTCGAATATGGCCGGTGGTCAAGCGCCCGGTGCGAACTCGCGTGGCCGTGGTGGCAAGTTCCGGAAGTTCACACGCGGCGGTAAGTCCTCCACAGGAAGAACCCCATGCTCGAGGTTTCTTTGGCTGACGATGGGATCTCACAGGTGGAAAGCACTTCTCTCGTAACCTGCGGCCTCTCGATGCCGATGGCAATGAAATTAGCATGTGGAGCGAGGATGGCGTACCAAAACAAAACGGGAGTGACGACTCGGAGGACGACGACTCAGAGGAGGATTCCGAGGAGGAGGAAGACTCTGATGATGCTGCCCCTTCTTCGAGTGCTGCCTTAGCGGCATCCGCAGCATCCCGCGAGGATCGCAAGAAGGAGAAGAAGGCCCGTAAGGAGGCAGCGATCGCTCGTGCCAAGGGCCAGGCCGTCCAAGTGGGCGATCTACCATCCAGCGAAGACGAGAGTGACGACGAAGACCTTCCTGCCAACCCGAACCACTCGCGGGCTGCACGAAGCCAGACGAAAGTGGCTTCAGCCTCTGGGAACCGCGATGTCGACGAAGCTGGCGAGGGAGTCAAGGATCTAAGCCTAGGCGGTACTGCGGCGCCCCAATCTCGTCGGGAGCGTGAGTCTCTCGAGGCCCAGCAGGCCAAGGAGCGTTACCGAAAACTGCACGAGCAGGGAAAGACGGACGAGGCCAAAGCCGACCTGGCGCGCTTGAAAATCATTCGAGAGAAGCGTGAGGCCGAGGCGGCGCGGAAACAGGTAAGTTGGACGTCTCGTGGTCCTAATACGAAGTCTCTTATAACTAATACGTCACTTCGCCCAGGCTGAGAAGGAGGAGCGGGAAGCATTAGAAAAAGCTCGCAGAGAAGAGACCGAGGCGCGCGAGGCGAAGAAGCGAGAGGCTGCGCTGGGTAAGCCCAAAAAGGCAAAGAAATAAGTGATGGTCCAAAATAAGGCAAAGATCTAAATAATAGAGACCTCATTAGCACATCGTAGTGCTCAAACTCAGGCCTCCAATACGTAGAGACCAAATGCATTATAGCGATTACATGTCAGCCTACGGTACTCGGATGAGGATGGGGTGTGTAAAGCAAAAGAACCCCAACTATTCTAATGCCCTATATTATATATTAAAATCTGCCTCACGGTTTACGTGACACGATCTACCCCATGCACCAGTATACCGAAATGCTAAAACCTCTCTAATCTAAGCCACAACATTTCATGTACATCGCACTAGCCAGTGCTTTTGGCCTAATTTGCCTGTCTACCTGTCCCTCGACTACTCTCAAGTCAAAGATACTGCGGCGACGTCTGTCAAGATATATCCTTACATTCCGTGAAGTCCTTCTGTACCTACTGAATCAGCCCAGAGCTGGTCAAAGTCTACGCCATTTTCTTGGAACACATCCCGCACCTCTTTAGCAACTATTGCTTGCCGTTCTGCATCGCCAAGACCTCCAGGCCGCGTAGCCTCGAACTGAATAATTTCAATCCAACGGAAAAATAAGTCCTCCTTCCCAATCGCAGCGAGCGCATCACGAAAAGCAAACACTTGTCTGCGGCGAATGTCATCGTCACCCGAGGAGGCACTAGAGCCAACACCGCCACCTAGCGACCGCAAGTCTACAGTCAGCCAGCCATAGTCGTCATGGTGAAGAAGTGTCAGTGATGTAAACGCCTCGAGCGCGAGTTCCTTTTTGTCCACCAGGTGCGTCGCCAGCACCATCAAGTTCCAATCCAGGTCCCAATTGCCGTCCATGGTGAGGTAGCCCGTCTTTTGCTGGGTCAACAGTGGCGATGTCGCTTGGCTGATGTGTGCAACAAGCAGGCGACGAGCATTCTCATCGTTGACCAGATCCATTTTCGTCGTGGCGCCACTGTTGCTGCCGGCCGCATCGTCCGATATGGTGCTATTCTTTGTCGATGAATACCACGACCGGCTGCGGCGAACGTAGATCTCCTTGTCGCGGAAGCCGACCTGCATACGCCAACCAACAGGGTTGCCATGTGTGGTACCGAAACAGAACTCAATGGGCCATGGCCAGACAAAGACACACAGGGTAAGGTCTAGCATAAAAGTAAAGCCACGGCGGAATATCACAGAGATTAACTGATTCCAGGACAGGTCCTTGGCTAAATAAGTCGTGGCATTGGCGGTACCAAGAGCGGATTGGAGCAGCAGGTAGTAATATGGGCCAATGTACCAAACCCGTAGAGCAAACAGTAGCACAACGCCAATGTTCATGAGAACCGGGACACTGAATATCTTTCGCTTAAAGGACGCAGGTTTGCTATCAATGTGTGCGATATAGACATGGCGGGCGGAGAGTTGGTCGAAGAATGGCTCCAAGCTGTCAGGGGCCTTCTTGAAGGGCACAGGTGGTTCGTTGTTGGAGATGGTGTCTGATTTGCGGGCACCAGACGCCTTGCCGGCCCTTTTTGTAGCCATTGATAGGATATGGTTATTCAAAGGGTGAGGGGAAGGACTTTGGAAGTCGACGATAGGAGTATCGAGGTTGCCGTGGCTCAAGCAATCGAGAGTAAAGAGCATAGATGGTAAGGAGCCCATGGAGAGATGGGATGTAAAAAAGGCACCAAGGGGAGCCTTATTCTGTTATATGTGGGCCTAGGAGCACGAGACAGGTACAAGAAGCAAAGCTAAATGGTATTGGCGTGACGTGTAATCGCGCTTTCTAATCGCCCAATTACCCGTTAATAGCATATTATGCGCAAAATGTTCTCAACGGCCAAAATTTCTGATTTTACGACAGAAGCTCTGCAAGGAACATTAAAGCGTTTCGACCGCCTAACCTTTGCCATGATACGCGGGAACCTACACCATGTAAGTTCTATAGAGTTTATGTTTCTTTCCCCCGGATTGTAATTCTGACATTCCAGGGGCCCCGACAGTCGTGTCCGTCAATCCAACTTCTCATTCGACTGCATCAGCCGGCAGCATCAACAAGCTGTCTCCATACATCGCAACGGAGATGGTATGAACGAGATTGGTCCCAGGCGTCCGTCAATACCCCATCTTATCCGAAGCGCAGGTATGGCCCGCCTCAACGTGAAGCAGCCACCACAGGCCGCATAAGCCCTTTCAGCAGAGAGTTGCCAAAGGATCGAAGGCCGAGTCTATTTGCGCAAACTCCTAACCAACCTCCGAGACCACCCCCGTCACCAGGTTTAAGTGGCCCATCTAGCCCCTCTAACGGAGAATTGGATTCCGGCCAAGGAAATGCGTGGGGGAAGTTGGCTCAGAGGCCGTCTTTCCGGCGCCCAGGCGGTCAACAATCCCAGGGAGACGGCCATCTAGTACCAACGTTTCGGCGCCAACCTATCAAGCCGGCCTCTAGATACCTGCCTGGCGAAATACAGACCTCGTTGCGACCTGAGCCAATCCGGCGAAGTCCGGAACCGGGCTCAAACGCCACAAATGGGAACCCGCAAAGTACGGATCAATTCTGGTCGCAGTTGGAGTCACGCGTCGGAAAGGGCTCCGCAGAGCGAGATGGACGGCAACAAAAAAATACAGCAGGCCGGTTGGATCAGGCGCCTCGATCTCCGCGAAACATTGGGGCGCACACTGGGCGGGGCAACCGGACTAGGAGCGAAGGTGTCGCCAGTAGCAAGGGGCAGGTTTCCCAGTGGATTGGAGAGCAAAGTAACGCATTTGGTCCCGACTTTGATACAAATGTTCCGACAATCATGGCCCCGGAATTTGGGTCTCATGGTGGCCGCGGACTTCGTACGAAGCATCGCAAAGAAAAGCCCGTGTCATCGAAATCAAAGGGTAGAGGACGCTCCCAAGACAGGGGATTTGTGACGGACGGGGAAGACGATTTCGAAGATTTCGACAGGGTTGCCGAAGACCGGCGCGAGCGCAAAGCGGAGAAAAAGCGTCAGCGTGAAAAAGCGGCGTCGGGGCCGACACCAATCCTATTACCACAGTTTATCAGTGTCTCAGACCTGGGACAGGCTCTTCGCGTAAAGCCACAAATATTTATGCAACAACTCGGCGAACTTGGCTTCGAGGACATAACTCTCGAAAGCGTCATGACAGGTGAGACGGCCGCGCTTGTCGCGCAGGAATATGGCTACGAACCGACGGTGGACACTGGCGCGACGATCGACCTTAAGCGCAGCCCACCACCTGAAGATCCTTCAACGCTACCATCACGACCGCCTATCGTGACGATCATGGGCCACGTCGACCACGGCAAGACGACGATGTTGGACTGGCTACGCAGTTCGTCTGTGGCTGCTCAGGAACACGGTGGAATCACACAACACATTGGAGCCTTCTCCGTCGCGCTCAATAATGGGAAGCTAATCACATTCCTGGATACGCCGGGCCATGCGGCATTCCTGACCATGCGTCAGCGTGGTGCCAGTGTTACTGACATCGTGATTCTGGTCGTGGCTGCGGATGACGGTGTCAAACCGCAAACGCTGGAGGCACTGAAACATGCACGAGCCGCTAACGTACCAATCATTGTGGCCATCAACAAGGTTGACAAAGACGAGGCCCGTGTTGACCAGGTCAAGGCCGACCTTGCACGTCACGGCATCGACATCGAAGATTTTGGTGGCGATGTGCAAGTTGCATGCGTGAGCGGGAAAACCGGTCTTGGCATGGATGTACTCGAAGAAAATATCCTCACTCTCTCCGAGATTTTGGATGTACGGGCGGATCCCAACGCGATGGCCGAGGGCTGGGTGCTCGAGTCGAGCGTGAAGAGCATTGGGCGGTCAGCATCTGTCCTGGTGAAGAGTGGCACCTTACACAAGGGTGACTTCATTGCTGCCGGGACCTCATGGGCCAAGATTCGCTTGATGCGAAACGAAGCCGGTGTGGAGGTCGAAGAGGCTCACCCAGGAACCCCAATCGAGATCCTGGGCTGGAGAACCCTTCCTGATGCCGGCGACGAAGTTCTTCAAGCTCCGACAGAAGGACGCGTCAAAGAAGCGATTAACTACCGCCTTGATGCCAAAGAACGCGAAATGGCGGTCTCTGAAGCAGAGGCACAGGAGCAAAGAGACAAAGAAAGGACAGCGTTGGCCGAAGCGGCGGCTGTCGCTGCCATGACCGAAAATTCCAGGCGAAAGCCAAATGCCGCTGTTGCAGGTGATAGCGCAACGAGGGATGCAGAAGAAGGCAATGGCCTAAAGACATTAAACTTCATTGTCAGGGGTGACGTTATGGGCTCTGTTGAAGCGGTATGTGCGGCCATTATGGAGATTGGTAACAATGAGGTCAGGCCAGTGGTGCTGCGCTCAGCGCCTGGTCAGGTTACGGAATCTGATATTGAGCACGCTGCCGTAACGAACAGCATCGTGGTCAACTTCAACTCGACGCTACATGGCACAATCAAGAAGATGGCCAAGGATGCCGGCGTTGCGGTTCTGGATTACACTGTCATTTACCACTTGGTTGACGAGATCAAGGACAGACTTTCAGAGCTGCTGCCGCCGATTATCACGAGTAAGGTCCTGGGTGAAGCCGAGGTTTTACAGGTGTTCCCGATCAACCTGCGCGGCCGTGTGTTCAAGAACATTGCCGGATGCCGAGTGCGCAACGGCCAAGTAACCCGTACCGGCTTATATAGGCTGTTCCGGAACAACAAGTTGATTTTCCAAGGTGAGCACTCGGTTTGAACCGACGTTTGTCATTCCTGGTCACCCACTCCCCGAATCATATCGCTAACATTTTTAATAGGTAAATTGGAGACTCTCAAGCATGGCAAGAAAGAAGTAAGTGAGATGCGCAAGGGTACTGAATGCGGCATGTCGTTTGAAGAATGGGAAGACATCGAGGTTGGCGACAAGATCCAAGCCTACGAAGAAATCCGTGAGAAGAGGCGGCTATAGGTGGAAAGCCCCTTGACAGTCCCATTTAGTTGTAACAGTACTTTTTTTCTATTGTATTTGGGATATTTGGCGCACCGAGGCATTTATAAACTAAAAAGGACCATCGCGAGAGGTTGCATTGGGCGGCTGCAGATTTGTACAGAGAAGGATTCGGATGACCCCCTGGTGCATTGGTGCGTATGTATAGATTAACCACTTCCTCGCCCATTACACTTCAATTGTGCAGATTTCGTTTCAATGCGCTTTTGTTTGAGCCGCATGAAGCATGGCAGGCATTTCTTAAATCTAACATCAACCCCTCCTACTTGCGGGTACGTAGTTTGAAGTAAACGTCCTTGTCGATATGGCCGCTCTCGCCTTTTCCTTCTTGAGCTTTGCTAAGCCCGTGTGATCCGTTACAGGCGTGGCCATAATAATTTGATCCAGCTCCGAGTCGTCGGCAGCATTGCCGCTGCCGAAATCGCTTCCGGCGCCATTATCCTCTATCTCAGATGAGTCGTATTGCTGATCATTGTCGGAATCTGGCTCTGCATCGGAATCTGGCCGGAGCTGTCCTGGCCGCAGTGGCGCCTCTGCAGGCTTCGTCAACTGTTTTACAGTCTTCTCGGTTGGAATGGCAAACGGCTTAGATGCTAGAACTTTTCGGCGAATCTCTTCCATTTCCGCGTCGTCATCGCTTTCGCCGGATATGCCGAATGGGTCTTTGTCGTCATCCTTGTCAGCCACTGCTTCACCCTCTTCCCTATCGCTGCCTCCTTCGCTTCCACCCTCGTCACTATCGTCCTCGTCTTGACTCCCCCCACTGACTCTGCTTATGCTTCTGAGGTTTACGTTGCCTCCTTTCCACATATCAGTCTCTTGTCGGCTTTCGCTATACTCGCGCTCGAGCTGCTCGATCCAGTCGGCTTCAGCCTCTTTAACCGCTGGAGCATCCGCACAGGCCGCGTACTTGTCCAGAAGGGTTCTGTTGATGTTGAGAAACTCCTCGCCATAGGGGAACGGCGCCAACACACCCTCCGCCCATTCTGGCTGTCCGCAAATGTAGAACGCGGCCGCAAGTGCCTCGACGCAATTGAGCCGCCACGGCTTGCCATAGTTGACTGAGTTCGCTGCCACTAGGTACGGCAGGAGTCGTTCACACTTTCCACCGACTTTGTTCCACTGCACCTCCTTGGTGCGTGCCCACGAGCACTCAACGACAGCAGCACCGAACTGAGCCATGAGCTCCTTGTCTGCCGGGCTGACAACGCTGCGACCGTTAGGCGTGATCACAACGCCTGCATAACGCTGGCCCAGGTGCAGCTCTCGCATGAGGCCAAGCTTCATCAGCTTCTTTCCGGAACAGCGCTTGGGGTCACAGTGGCCGAGATCCCAGCACGCAGCTTTGAAAGCAGGCCGGCGAGATGAGCCACTGCTGTCTTCTCCACCGCCCCCGGCCCCTTGGGGCCGGGCCCGCGGTAGGCCGAGAGGCTTTTTGCCTTTGCCGTGATAATCTTTTTTATGTCGCACCATCATATACGTTGGTGATTTATTCGGCTTTGTTTTGGGTCGTCTCATACAGGGTACAGCTTCAAGAAGAAGCAGTACGAACGCATCTGTAAAGCTACTAACATATTTTTGTCGTCTATCATTTAGCTGGGATTTAGTGGGGGGTTGTCTCATCACACGGGCTGTACAGTGTATATGGACAGTGCAAAATTTCATTTCTACATGGTCTCTCACTGGCCAGCTCGCCTCATAAGTAACTACGAGTCACCTACCTAACAGGAAGAGGTCGGCTGGAACCTCAGTCAAGCTCCCCTCACCTTTCCCGAGGTGCCTATCCGCAACCAGGTGGCACCACATCGACAACGACTACAGCCTCAACACTCGATGCTATTATATACAAATTCATCCACCGGAAGCTAGCTACTGCTGCATTTTAGAAGACAGCTCGACGTTCCAGGCCGCACACATTCGGGATATAAGGCACGTCAGGCAGACAACAAAAGGGGGAGGGCCTTCGAGACTGACGGATCTGGGTGCATCACTATTGCCATTGACCGAGAGACCAAAAGGACCAAAAGCACGTGTTAGTACGAGTATCGGTTTCTTGTGTACCATGGAGGCGTCCTCTGCTCGCTACGCGGCGCGCGACCGGTGGAGCGATGTTGCGTTTCCGGCGCCGTCGCAACTGCAGCGATTCATCCAGAGTGCTTGTAGTCCGGAGAACTATGAGCCCAATTTGGCGCTCAACCTAGAAATCGCCGACTTGATCAACTCCAAGAAGGGCACAGCGCCTCGCGAGGCCGCGACGACCATTGTCGGTTACGTCAACCACCGCAACCCCAATGTGGCGTTGCTGGCGCTGAACCTTTTGGACATTTGCGTTAAAAACTGCGGCTACCCCTTCCATCTCCAGATCAGCACCAAGGAATTTCTGAACGAACTCGTCCGACGTTTCCCCGAACGCCCACCTCCCCGACCGACGCGCGTGCAGCTTAAGATCCTCGGCGCTATCGAGGAGTGGCGAGGCACAATATGCGAAACCAGCCGCTACAAGGAAGACCTGGGCTTCATTAGGGATATGCACAGGCTGTTGAGCTATAAGGGCTACACATTCCCGGAGGTCCGCCGTGAGGACGCTGCCGTACTAAACCCTAGCGACGTATGTCGGCGACAGACCAATACCTTATCAGATTTGCCAGAGACAACTGCTAATTCATCGTCATAGAACCTTAAATCCGCCGAAGAGATGGAAGACGAAGAGCGCGAGGCACAATCGGCGAAACTCCAGGAGCTGATTCGTAGAGGAACACCCGAAGACTTGCAGGAAGCGAACCGCCTGATGAAGGTCATGGCTGGTTACGACACGCGGTCTAAAGTCGACTACCGTGCAAAAGCCGCCGAAGAAGTGGCTAAGATTCAACAGAAGGCGAGTCTTTTGGAGGAGCGCCTTGCGTCTTTCCAGCCTGGTGAAGACTCGATGAAAGATGGCGATGTGTTCGATGAGCTCGCGTCGGCCTTGTCAAGTGCACAGCCAAAGATCCAGAAGATGTGTGAGGAGGAATCGGATGACCATGCGGCTGTAGCCCGGTTGCTTGAGATCAACGACAGCATACACCGCACGGTTGAACGCTACAAGCTCTTAAAAAAAGGCGACGTCGAAGGTGCTCACAAAATTGCACAAGGCTCACCCATGCCTCACGCATCTGTCCATGGGGCCGCGTCAGCGACACAGGAGCTGTCGTTGATCGACTTTGACGGCGACACCGTGTCCGAAGGTGCTGCACAGCCTTCTAATGGTGCCACAGGGGCTGCATCTACACCTGGAGCACCCAAATCAACTGGCATCGAAAACGATTTACTTGGATTGTCATTCAATGAGCCGTCAACGGGTTATGGCCAGCCGGTACCAGGCGGCGTTGCCCTTGGTTTCGGTGCAAACAACAACGTTCCCGGGCCTGCCTTGCTCTCTTCTGTTACGCATCATAGTAGTGCCCGCGGTCCACTAGGTACACCGTCGCCTTCTGCATCGCCGCTGCCCTCTGCCACAACTGTGGTAGCCGAGCCCCAACCAACTACAGCACCATCAGACGCTTTCTCGTCGCTCTTCACTTCTGCGGCGTTGGAAGCGTCCAACTCGAGCACACCGCAACCTAATTACCAATCTCCGGCGTTTGCACCTCCTAAGTCAGCCTCGGTCGATCCCTTTGCGGCCCTATCTTCTCCTAAGTTCCGGTCGTCTGTATCTGCTAGCCCCATTCCAGCACCCTCACCTGTCCCCGCCGCTGTGGCGGATGATGACGAGTGGTCCTTCTCATCCGCACTTCCTACTGAGGCGGCGCCCTCGAAACCCAAAGAGTTCCGGGCAGTTATTGGGAGCGGGCCTATTAAGATCGACCTCTACGCAACACGAGCTCCAGCATCGCCAGCCGCTATTCATTTTGCGTTTGCATTCTCGAACACGACACAGCAGACAGTTACTGAGCTTCACTTTCAAACTGCTGTGACAAAGGTGAGCTCTTGTTACTACCCTGGAGACTATAACTTCGATATCTGCTTTTAGCAGCTTTCTGACACTTTTATATAGGGTTTCGAGCTGAAGCTACAACCGCAGTCCGGCCGCACACTGGACCCACTGCAAGCACGTGGGGTCGTGCAGTCGATGGAAGTTGGGCATACAAATGATAAAAGCCGTAAGGTTGGTGCAATCAAGCTGCGGTGGCGCCTCTCGTACCGGCTAGGCGAAGAGACGAAAGCAGACATGGGCGAGGTGCAAGAGTTTGAGCTCGCGTAGGCTAGAAGATGATAGAAAGGGATAGCAATTATGTAGCGGCGGTCTTCCATGAAAGCAAGTTGAATTAGATGGGAAAATGCGTCTGCTTTATTTTTTTTTTTCTCATTTTTGGATCAATGATTTGGCTTCCGTTTGATGGCTAAAATAAGAGACTCGTAGACAGTCGCTGTTTTACTTCTTTTGCTCTTTGCAGTCCACTCTAACTTCGCAGGGTTTGGGCCGTAATGCATGTGATCCACACGTACCTACTTGGTCGTGAATTCTTAAACAGATACCACGAGGATTGCGGTCCATTCCAAAAGGACAGTTGTGCAGACACGTAAATACATACGAAAATTAAATAAAGGAGAAAATAAGGGCGAATCTTATATAGTTCATACGAGAAGAGATGTGACATCATTTTCTTCGGGTGGGCTTGAACCACCAACCTTTGCATCGTCAACGTTCAGTGGCATAACAGACTAGCGCACTATCCAATGGCGCCACGAGAGATTTGCTTACAAGGGGACGGAAACTCACAATTCACCGTCGCACTGTAAGCGGCTGACCACTAACTGGCGGGAAGATTTGATGGGTTCCACTTTATAGCTCTGCCGTTGATGCTGTAGCTGATTTTAGGCGTCGCGAACTACTTTGGAGTTTTACTCTCCAACGATACCCTGAACCATACAAAAAGCGCTCCTTGTACAGGTATCTACTTGCGGGTCCTATCAATCAAAAGCCCCCCCTCCCAAAAGATAACAAAAACCACCACACTATGGGATCCGACGGCTCGGAGCACGGTGAACCATCGAGGCACTTGGACATACCCGGCGACAACGAGCGACGAGATCGTACGAAAGACAGTCGCAGTGATGGCAGAAGCAGGCGCAGGTATGGAGAGTCACATCGGCTAGACAAAGAGGTTGGTTATTGGGGTGATACAAAGGGCGGAGCGAGGGACGAAGTCGATAGGCGCGACCGAAGGCCCCGGGGAAACGACGAAGACAATCAAGGTGATAGCATCGACCAGCACAGACGACATCGAAGTGAACGAGACCGCCGAAGATCAAGATCACGGTCGCCTGGTAGACGGAAACGACACAGGCGGCGCGACTCGCCACATAATCATAGCCACCAGAAACGCGAGCCGACAGACCCTGGGCAAAGAGAGTACCGGGTACAGAAGAGACACTCGCACGACGGGCGACACGGCAGGCATGGCCGGGATGAGGATGACGACCAGTGGGGGCAGCAGCTGCATGACTTTGATGACAGTGCAGACAACGGCGGCAGCGAGGCCAATAGGGAGCGTAAGACAAACCAGTCGGCCAAGCAGAGCGGGCCGTTGCCTGACCAGGCGTCGTCGTTTGCTATGGCCGAAGGCGGCGAGATTCCCAAGCCTCCCAAGGAGCAACCCAACTGGGGCACAACGGGGACGTTGGCAGCCGCATCCAATGCAGTGGCGCAGGATGACGGCTCCGTCATCACCCTCAAATACCACGAGCCTCCTGAGGCGCGGAAACCTTCGCCACGCGACCAGTGGAAACTTTTCGTGTTCAAGGATGATGCTATCGTTGACACGATCGACCTCGGCACACGCAGTTGCTGGCTAGCGGGACGCGATTCCGCGGTGGTGGACCTGCTTGCGGCGCACCCGAGCATTAGCAAGCAGCACGCGGTTCTGCAGTTTCGCTTTGTGGAGAAGCGGAACGAGTTTGGCGACCGTATTGGCCGTGTGAAACCATACCTCCTGGACCTGGCCAGTGCCAACGGAACTAGGTTGAACCACGAAGAGGTGGCTACGCAGCGGTATGTCGAGTTGCAGGACAAGGACATGGTTCAATTCGGACACAGTGCGCGCGAATATGTTGTGATGCTTGCGCCGAAGACGTGACGCCGTATGGAACCAGGGGGCGTACGTTTGTGTACGTTTCCATCCCTGTGCGGGCATGTCTAGAGGCCGCTGAATGGCTTGGTCTGTGGTGCGGGTAGACAGATCCGGCAAATGCGACGAGGATGTCTGGTGAGCACATGTCTTCGTGGCAGAACATGCGCGGCATCCAGGCGTGTGGTGCCATGACGCCCTACTTGCAGAATAACAGCAGGCTTTGGATGCCTTGCGGTCGAGGTATAGGTGCGATGTCAATGGGCAGTGGACGACCTTGGGAACAAGTTGGCGCTGGTTGGGCTTTGCTATCACAGAGATCCAAAACACTCCAAATACTTAGATGGTCATCTTATGATATGCTTCGCATAGACTCGCATATATTTACTAAGCAGGATGAGCTCATCATGCAGTTAGTGTGCCCCGACCACTTCGTTTCCTTCCTTTTCACGGGGCGTAATCGCGTTTGCATCTCCGCAGGCTGCAGACGGATTGTATCGAGATCATCGCGAACCCCGGTAGGTTCAGATGGAAGGTTAGCCTTTCGTCCCCTAATTACGTTCGCCATCGTTCCGCCGGCGATAGACTTCTTGTTTGTCTTTATGGACTAGCCGCGCCTTCTTTCACTCTTTAGCATTTTTAAAATTCAAATATGTTCGTTATCTGTAAAAAAAAAAAAAAAAAAAAAACTTAAACACGTCCTATTTTTATTTGTCTATATTTATATGTATCCAAATAAAACACCAGGTGCTGTTTTCTCGACCCCAGCTGTACTAGGAGATATTGTCACATAGCAATTACCCATCGATTCGAACCACATCCGTCTGTAAATGCTATGTACAATGCCGGGCCTCCAATATCCCAGTATTCGTTCCAACACAGCAGACGAACACAGAGGCTCCAACAAATCGTCGGCTTTCTTTGAGATTTCGCGTACCATTACCTACAACCCACCGCCCCAAAAAGCGAAACATGTCGCTTTTGTGAAATGCTGTACTGCTGCAGGCCAGTTGGTGCATTTGTTGATGAGGCTGCGGCTTTACTAATCTGGCCACATGCCCGGATTCCTCGGAAGCGTCGATTATGATGCGATGAAACTAGGTCACCACGAGGCAATTTTAAACCGTCAGAAAGGCTACCATGAGTGTTATAAAAAGTACATCCATACACGACATGTTTACGACGGCATTCAGACTAGCTCGCAGGTGTTAACGACAAAGTTAAACAAACGATGTGGATCGTCCTCAGTGACAGTCGGAGAGCGAATTTACTTTGCATCAAAGCTGCATATGCAGGGGCAGGCGGAGTGATTGTGCGCGAGAATCATTGCCCCAAAAAGTTCGTTTGTATCCATAGGCGCTGCGCAATCTGATACACTCGCTTTGCAGTTCTATTTGCCAGTTGAGGCCATCCCACAGCTCCTTGACTGCCCAGACGCCGCCTTGCCCCAATTAACAAGGCTGTCCAGTTGGTGACACCTTTTGCCTGCCTTTGCGTCCCGATCATATAGTTCGCTGCTCAACCTTCCTACTGGTGTTCCTGTTGGTATGAATCTTCGGTGCTACCCGAGTCTGTTTTTAAATTGCTTGCTTGTTCGCCGGCAACTGGTGCCGACTGGGCTTAAGAAAAGCCGTTAGAGGATCCGTCTGTGCCTAGCCGGTCCTAGCCTGCCATGGCGCCCGCCCCTAAACCCCAGCTTCCGGGGTTAACCAGCGGCATGAAATGGAGGGTGACTGCCGGGGCTGGTGTCCGGCAGCCAGATTGTAAGGGAGGCTGGGAAAGGTGCAGCCACACGCACTCTTTACCAGAAGGCTCAGCTGCCTGCATACATCCATGAAACCAAGACAGTTGGCCCGGCCAGGGCCTCCCTTACCGCTCCCCTTCCCATGCTCTCCGCAACCAACCTGGCCACCCTGGGTCGTCGTATCCCGTACTCGTAGCCGTGACCTGTTGTCATGGTCAGGCTCCAACATTGAGACCCGACGAAGTAGTCAAGGCTGTTTACGGCCGAGTGAACCCATTTAAAGTCGGCCTCTTTTGCTTTTGTTTTGTTTAGGGTTGATCTGTGTTTGGTTCAATGGGCAAACACCCTTTTGGAGCAGATTCAGCAACAGGGCGGCATACAGTCCGTAGCGCCTTTCTTTGGAGTTGTCTGCAAGCCAGAACCGAGCGTCCTGTTACCCGTAAACGGTAACGATGGAAGCCCGCTGGTTCTAACGTAATTACCGTTCCCTACAGAGCTACAAATGACATGCAACAGACATGCAACTGCTTGTATCTTATCCTTAAGCCCTCCGCTCCTGCCATCTCTACGACCAAGATCAGAAAGTCAATACGGAACGGCCACTGACCCGCTTTTCCTCTCCTGTCAGACGACCTGAATCGACAGACAACAAAAGTCATCTGAGCCTCTCATTTGTTGTCGCATAAACAGCGACATCTCCAACTACCTCTCATCTTTTCTGGCCGCTCACTACTCGCTAGTCCAAGAACCCTACAGGCCGCCACCAAAACCATCGCCATCGAGACACAGCAAGAAGGCACATGCGGGTAAACGCCCAAGGCTGGCCGCATAAGCTTCCACCGCGACGTTTCAACGCCGCCTCTCCCTTCTCGCCGTCTGGTTTCTTGGATACGGGAAGCTCGTTGGGCGGGCGCATTTCAACAACTAGTCGTCATTCTGTAGACGCGCCTCTTTAAGGCAGTCCCAACCAGTGGCTTGCCTCGGATCGCAGCCTTGCGCCACGCACCCCCTTTTACACACCTCAGTACCAGCACAGTTCGCCATCTTGTCGCCTTTCGTCGTGTTTCGCCGCCTCTTTGTTTTGGCCCCGTGTTCCTTTGCTTCGACGGTCCCCTAAACCCACTTCCCTAACTTACCCTTCTCTCGCTTCTCTTTCTCTCTGTTCGCCCTCTTTCACCCATAGGTACTACGCTTGTCCGCTGTCTGCGTCTTGAGGCAAGCAGCCCTGCTCGTCTTTGGCGCGCCCGTTCCAGCACCATTCGCCCTGGAACCTTTCTTCGCCTCTATTGACGACTGGCCTCGATGCGGCTCTTACTCGTATGTTTACGACTGCTTTGCGTCCAACAGACCGAGGTAATATAAAGGCAGGCCCTGGTCATTCATCCCTTACCCCGTTTAGGTCCACCTTCTTTTGTTTCCATTCTGTCTTTTACTTCGCCGTTCCACCATTCCCACTCTTCTTCTGGCTTCCCACACACACGAAAGTCGTCTTCTCATACTTGTCTAACCCTCGCCGACCCCGAGTCTACAGCCCGTTTTGATACTCGTGCTGTGGCGCCAAGAGAGCTGTAGTGTTTGCTCTTCTTCCATTCCGACACCCTAAAAATGGTAAGCTGTTCCTGTCTTCATACAAATCACTTCAACTTTTCCCAAGGGTATTCACCCCACCTTGCCGCCTTGCTCGGCATTCGGCCCGTCCCGTCATGACACTTCCCTCCAACGCAACCATCTTTCTAAATGCATGAGCTGACACTGGCAATTGGTTCCCCTTCCAGGAGTCGACCAACCTCGGGTCGTCGTCCCAGGGCTCAGTCAACCTTGACGTCTCTCGTTTCGAGGTGACGCCTGTCTTCACCCACCCCGACGCACATGTCGACATCATTCTCGTTCATGGTCTAAATGGCCAGCCGAAGCGGACTTGGACCGCCAAGAACGGCCTCTATTGGCCGGCAGAGCTTCTTCCAGAGACATTAAAAAAAAACCCTGCAAATATTCTCGTATATGGTTACAACGCCGATGTCTACGGCAGAGGCACGGAGAGCAGTCCGAGCGACAACTTTATTTACCAGCATGCAATGACTTTAGTCAGCCATTTGACCGCTTTTCGCCAGAATAGGGGTACAAGCAACAACCCGCTCATTTGGGTTGCTCACAGCCTCGGCGGAATATTGGTGAAGCGTGCGTTGCTTTACTCCAATGACCTCCGTGATGCCGACCACGAGGCGTCGCGGTCTATATATGTTTCGACATACGGCATCATCTTTCTTGGCACACCACACACCGGCTCCGGGCTGGCTTTCTGGGGTCGAGTCCTACAAGGAATGGCCTCTGCAGCACCCAAGAAGTTCTTTGATACCGAGCCCGTCCTGATCAAGTCGCTGAAGCGGAACAACGAACGTTTACAGGAAGTCAACAATCACTTTCTGGACATTTACCAACGCTTCAAGATTCAAATGGTCCACGAGAACCACAAAACCGACCTGAAGGGAACAAAGTGAGCATGTCATGCCAGGTCCCCTTTTAACACAGATTATCCTGCGTATCTCTACTTGTAACGTCAGTTGACTGACTAGCAATTCAGGGCATTTGTTGTAGATGTCGACTCGGCAAGTCCTCAGCTGCCCGGTGTGACATACTACGGGATTGAAGCCGACCATTCAAATATATGCAAATTTGATGGTGCAAACGCCCCAGGTTACCAAACTATGGTCACGTCTATCCAAGAATGGGTCATAGAGGCCCCCCCAGTCATCGAAATCCGATGGACGGTTGAACATGAAGACCGTGTGGCTCGTGCGCGTCGTGAAATAGAAGAGCGTCGTTTGACTGTACGTCCAGACATCTATTTCCCGAGCCCTTAATGATGTTTCTTCGACTTTTGACGTGAGTCCCGTTTGCATCCACTAACGCAAGGACAGGCAACCATACGGGCAAGGAGTAAATCAAACGCTGGTAAGTCACGAATTGCCCCATATCTATTTGACTTGTCTTCATACTAGAACATTTCAGTACCACATATACTAAAACTACTGCTACACCCTCTTACACAGATACAGACTTGATCGAAGGTATTCCCGACCTCTTGTCACTGAGGGCAGTGATGGCCAAGGTTGACTCTACTACTATACTCAGCCCAGGTGAACTTGTCGAGTCCCCCATTACCTCCATCCCAGATGCGGCTACCGCACCGATGCCACTACTTCCTCCCCCTGTCTCATCAACGACCTCAGGTACCTCGACTGTCAAGCAGGACCCGCTATTTCTGCACCCGGAGAAGTTTCGTCCAAATTCCTACTTCGTTGGACGCAAGAGAGAGCTTGAGGAGCTTCACCGAAAGCTCACCGACGGTGCAAAGAGGGCAGAGGGAACTTCCGCAGTTGTCATCCAAAGCCTACCAGGTGGTGGAAAGACGCACCTTGCGCGACAATATGTTTTCCAACACCGTGGCGACTACCCGGGTGGCATTTACTGGATTCGTGCTAAGTCCATCGCAGAAATGGAACAATTTTTCTGGACAATTGCAAAGAACGAAGCTTTGCGAAACGTCGTGGAAAAGACCCTTGCGGAGGAGCCCAGCTCTTCTAGCGATTCTCAGAAGGAGTTGTGTGATCCTCACAATATCGTCAACATCGTCCGGGCTTGGTTTAGCAGTTTCGATCAATGGCTTCTCGTGTTTGACGGCATCATTTTCAATACGCCCGGAATAGAGCGATTCATTCCCGATGCTAAAAACACGAGCATCATCTACACGTCCATCCAAAGCGATGTCTCTGGCCGTTACGAGTTTGACAATCCACAAATAATGAAGCTGGATATGCTCAGCCCGGAGGATGCGCGCGATTTGCTCTTGACCGAAATGGAGCGGAAAAAGCCCTGGAGGGAAGGTGAATGTGCACAGGCACTCGAGATTGTCAAGCGCATGGGGTGTCTGCCATTGATGGTCCATGCTGCCGCCCGGCATATCAAAACAACCCGTGAGCCTCTATCCAAATACTTAAGAACCCTCCAAAATCGAATATGGGCTAGTGACCTTCCTGCATACTACAACGTATGGGACGAGCTCAAGTCTCGCGGCGCATACCCGTCCTTGAATCTCATGTACATCTTGGCTTTTCTGGGCGGCCGTGTTCCGGTTGGATTTCTCAATCTAGGTGAGTGTCGCCGCCTGGCGTACCTGTCTTTCCTGCCCACGTCGTCTCGTCAACACAGTGCACTAACGTAACTCAATTTAGGCCTCCATGCGCTGGATAGCAGGACACCGGTGTTGACTCGTGATGCGTCACACACAAAGAGATCTCTTAACAACAGTTTGGGTACCTTAATTGCCTTTGCTCTTGTTGATCGCTACGAGGCGGATTCTGTCTCTCCAACGAGTTCGCAAACCAGTTCCAAACAGAGCCATGAAAGGGGGTCCGAATCTGTTGACTTGCTCCGAATTCACACCGTTGTCCAGCGCTTTTTTGTTGATGTTCTTACTGCTACTAAAGATGCCGACTTCTGGCTCGAGCGGTCGGCAAATGTGTTCTGCCATGCTTTTGATGAGGCGGATAGGCTCAATGGCAGAAGACCCGGTCTATTGGACGATTACCGCTGCTTCAAAATACACGGTGAGATGTTGTTACAACACTTGGCCCACTCGGAAAAGAAATCGCCACTTCCTCCCGGCCTGGCCAGTGCCGGGGTACAGATCCGTTCTCGACTCGGTGCCTGCGAGGAAGCCATCATGAAGCTCTCGGAAGTCACGCAGGCTCACATTTTCAACGAGATGGGCACGCGCCCGTCAAGTTACGAGAGCCTAACAACCACATCTGTTTTCGAACGTGCAAACAGTTTTTCAGACTCCTCGGTAGCTGGTTCTGCCAACTCATCCAGCCAAGCTAGTACTGACACCTCGGGAATCTCCTCGCGAACGGGTACTGGATTCGATGACGAGAGGGCTGGCGTTCACATCATTAACACCAACCCCGCAATCAACATGGATATCGACAGTCCAATCGACCTCGAAGCAGAGACGCAATTCGGCGACACAATTTTACATCCCAACGACGGGAAAGGGAAAGCTCCAGTGCAACAAGTGTGGACCAACCCTCCAATTGCCAATGCTAGCGGCGGAACTCTGTACCAGTCACCAGACCTTATCTTCTCTCCCTTCGTCCCAGGGGGTGGTGATCCATATAGCTGGCATGTACCATACCCGACGGCCCAGAATACAATTCCTGCCCCACCATCTCCGGAGGACGACAATGGAACTGACCAGGCTGTAACCGAAGTGCCAACGCCGAAGCTTTCGGATATTTCGCCTGTCAGGCCAGAGGCAAAGGATCACGACTCTCCGTCGGCAGGATTTGGGGTGCTTTACTCTGATCCTGCCGTACTTAATCACCGCGTTGTTCAACGAAACTACGAGCACCGATACCGAGATCGAGCAGGGGCGTGGAGAGATAAAAACATCAGCGACCCTCGAAGCAGCGTGAGCCGCGAGTTTGCGGAAGGATCGTTGTTCATCCCTGAAAGCGAAAGCTTCAAAGCAGAGCTTCCCGAACACGGCTTCTCGGTGACCGGCGGCGTGGCAAAGCACTCTCTCAGTAAATTTCGATCTTGGGCCAACTCAGCATCGCCTCCACGCCCGAGACTAGAACCGACCATACTAGACGTCGGCACCAAAGGGGATACCGACCAGAATCAAAGCAAGAACCGAGCACAGAGCACAGGGACATTGGGCGTCCGACCCCTTGTAACCCTTTATGAAAGCACAAAGCGACACGAGCCCGCCCGCCACGGCATAGAGGATGGGCACGGAACCAAACCGTCAGATATCGCCGCGATGTCTTTCAACTCTCCAAAAAGTTCCTCACAGTCCCCACCATCAAGTTTCAGGAACTCATTGAAGCGTCTCAGGGGTCTCAAGGAGCTTTTGTCATTTGGTTCTGCTTCAGCGAGCTTTGTTACTTCAGAAGAACAGAAAACTGAGAATATCGCCCCGTCTGATCCCGAAATTGCACCTGCCGCGCCGGATACGGAGGATGCACTTGCAAGCAGCATTGATAGCCTGCTCCGCTCGCAGCCTGGAACATTTTTGAGGGGCTCTCGGACAGCCAGATCAACCCCTAACCAGGGCTATGGCCCGTTCATGCCCCCTCCGTATCGCTCCTCATCCCAATATCTCTCCAATTCGATTACAACGCATCAGGAGGAAACTATCGTGGATGATGGCAATGCCGAGAACACGGATAGTATTGCTCAAAGAAACCTACCAGATTCCATCCATCAATGGGGCAGCGATGTCTACCACCCTGGCAACCAGCGAATAACTTCGTCTGAGTTGAGTTTTGGGATTGGCGCCCAAGACCGAACAGCGGCTTCCTACCAGGCACCGCTACACCCGAGCCACTCCCAGCAGTCTTCTCAGTATTTGCAACAACCCACGGGGCCGTCTCAGGAACAAATCGCACTTGAATCTCAGCAGATTCAGCGCAATTTTTTACGACCAAACCAGAATGTTGATGGATATACTTCGCAGCCAATGTCTCGCAACACAAGCGCTCAGTCTCAGCCCTCGACATACGGCCACGCTCACTACCCAACTCGGCTCTCGTCCATCCCCGCCAATACGGCACCACCGTCCAACCAAGCGGGAACGTACCTTCCACATGATCGTAGCTTACCTCAGTCTGTGGACGGCCGATCTATGACAGCGGGTACACGGCAAATACCTTCTCTGCGAAGGAATAGCCAATCGTCTCTTGTACAAACAGAACCGTCTCCACAAACGACGAATCCTTTCGCAGATGTCAACACTAGCTATCGGCAGTGGGAGGAAAGGCATCAAGAGCATCACCACGAGAGGCCATCTTACCTGCACGGCCCATTTACGGTGTGGTTAGAGGTTAGGGAACCGTCTATTTTCCGACCTATTCCCACAGCTTATAGCACAGGTGCTCTTACAAATAACAGCGACACAAGGAGCGGTAGTAGCAGCGGCAGCGTCGGAGGTGCAGGCTCGAGACAACCGGACAGTGTGGTGGTGTCTCGGTCGCAGTCTGGCCAAGGGCCAGAACACGTCTCAGCAACTGGTGCCTGGGATTCCAGAGGCATTGCTACTGTGCATATGGGCATATCGAATATAGCTCGGAGTGGCCCATATCCTTCTCAGATTACACATGTCGAGGGAGACGAGCATTCGTCTGAGCCGATATCCAAAAGCGTTTCAGGAACCGGAAACAGAAAAGTACAGGTGGGAGAATCCAACGACCACGACAGCGGTGTTTCGTGAAGGGGAATTCAAAGCAGTCATTATGATGTGCAGTAGAGCAACTGAGTTCCTAGGCTATAGGTTGATCTCCACATCGATTTTTTTATCGTTTTATTTTCTCTGATTATTCTTCCTTCGTTTTTCCTCTTGTTTCTCTGTCTGCTGGGTTTTCTGGCGTCTCCTTTTTCTTCTTGGTCTATCTATCTTCCATTCATAGCGTGCTATTTTTTGTTGCCTCTTTACAGGTCTTGTGTGTTCTCTGCTCCCAATTATTGACTCGCATTTTTGACGGTATTTTGATTCTACCCTGTTTCAAATCAAACTCAAGATAGATTTTCGTCGTTCAGTTATAGGTTGTCCAGTGTTTGCATTATAAACAGTGATAAACAAAAATTGACTGCATTTACCATACTCTGTTGAGTATCGACTCTACGTCTTTACGATAACTCGATTGCCATTGCAAGAGGCTTTTTATTGGCGATACGCTCATGTTCTGTTTTCACTTGTTACCCACCACAATATCATGGTGCTTCAAAACCTACTATCGTTGACCAAAAAGTATGCAAGCCAAACAAACAAAACAATTGGTGACGAAACTTAATTCACAGCTTTATATACGAGCCTTCCTATTCTCCATGCCCGTTTCATAACAATTAATTTAGAGATAACGACTCGGATGCAATTCTATCACAAACCGCATCCAAGATCAATAATAAGTGAGAAACAAAAGTAAGATAAACTCCGACGCTGTGCAAATAGCCGTGTAGCCGGCGTCGCTTGAGGGTTTCATACCAGCTTCACACCGTTCGAGTAGCTAATAGAACAAAAGAATGCGAAATAGCGCTGGATATCATCTATGCACACAAAAAGCGGGAAAGGTCCAAGCGACCGCCCGGCGCCCGCTGACCTCTCTGTTCGGCGACGTTGTCGTCATCGTCATCTCCGTCACTATCGGGGACAATTTGGTCTTCGCTGCCTTGAGGACGGTTCAGCGCCGCGACTTCGTCCAGATCGGCAGGTGGAAGGGGTACAAACGATGGGTTGATAGGTATCGAAGCCTCCATACTTCGTCGAATTCGTTTGGTGGTGGAGCTTCGTGGCCGCTCTGAGCGGGTTACCGATGTGGTCTCGACAAGCTCGCCCAGGCTCATTTTCGGCGCGTTGGTCTGATGTCGGCTGGTCTGTCGCTGTGAGATGGACGAGGGCGGAGTGAGGATACTCGGCTTCGTTGGTTTCTCGTGGCTTTCTATAAAGCTTGTGTCGGGAGTTGGTAGCCCGTGAGCGAATTTTAACGCTCCGGTGTACGAAAACCGGTCAAGTGATACACGAGTGATTGGGTTATCTTCTTGCGATGTGACCACGTCCTCCGTTTGCTGGCTCTTAAAGTCGGCTGGGCTGGCCGGGACCTCAACACCGTCGCTGTCAGGAACAACAGTACAATTTTTCGTCGGTCGTGCGTCCTCAAAAACGGACACTGTCGACTTTGCGGATTTGGTGGACATGTGAATATCCCAATCAACGATGTCCGGTAGACTTAACATGGCTTCTTCGACTGAATCGTCTGACATGAAATTTGAATCTGTAAGCCGAGTTGGCTTCTTTGTGGATGGGGAAGCAGCAACGGCATCAAAGGTCACCGGGAAATACTTGCTGCGCTCAAAGCCTTTGGATGACGGGACAGGCGCCTTAATTTCATCAAAATAGAGCTTTGCCTTCTTCTGTGGCCTTGTTGAAGGCATAGTGTCGCTCCGAGACCGGGCAGCCAGATGAAATGATTCGGACTGCGAATGCGGAGGTAGCGTCGAAGTTGTCGTTCTTCGGTTGGAGCTGGTGGCGGGATTAGAAGGAGAAGCACCAAGCTGTAAAAGGCTGGATAAGGATTCGGTTTGTCGCCGCCGCAGTCGTAAGCTTTCTCCAATGGCTGGTCCATTTCGTGACGGTCCGGCCTGGTGAAGCGATGTGTGGCCACCATCCACGTACGGCCGTGGCAGAGGGAACACACGAGGTGTCAGCCCATTCTGCGTTAAGGCCGCGACCTCTTGTTTGTCAACAGAGAAACAATTCGGGTCCATTGCACCTAGGGGTATCCGCTGTGCGGACTCGCGGCGTTTGGCAAAGTATTCGTTGATTGGTTTGCCGAACGGCTGCTGGTTTCCAGAGTTGGCAAAGGCTGAAATAGAAGGCGAGCTTCTTGGACCCGTAACACTGCTTGTGACGCTGCTTGCCCGTCGTTTTTTGCCCGGAGACAAGGGCAAAATGATGGGCTCTTTTGTCATAGGGTTTAGGCTGCCAATTGCAACACCTCGGGCGATATCATTGTCGATTTTTCGACCAATGAAGCACATTTCCTCGACATCAAGGCCATTTGTCGGCTCTGAGAGAAGAACAAGTTCTTGCTTGACAGGACAAAACACCCGTTGGTGAAGAAATGTCTGCTCTGCTTGGCGGAACGCGGCCATGTAGTTTTCAGAAACTTTGAATTTGCCATCAAACTGCAGCATGCGGACAACCTTTTCGATTGTTTTGTGTTTTCGTATCATCCGGTACGCGGTTTTGAGGCCAATGTTGCCAATTCCTTCAAGGTAGTCACAGCCACTGAGAATGGCCATGCGTCGAAAGTCTGTGTCAGAAAAATCTGTGAGTGAAACCTCTCTGCAGGCGCAAAACTCTCGACGGTTGATTTCAATGCAGCGGCCGTGCGTATCTAGCTTTGTCAAAAGGCGTTTGGCTCCAAACACCAAAAGATCGGAGTCTTCGGAAATAATGCCGCTGACGAGACCCTCGCGTTCAAGATAGACCATTTGGGCATCAGCTTCGTAGGGAGCAACGATATAGGGAAGACCGAGCTTCTTGAGTTCCTCGATCAAATGGCATGCCATCTCGGGGGTTACGTCGATTGCTTTTTGGAATTCAACAAATGCCTGCTTTGGGTTGCCGGCATTCATGAGCTCCTGGCCAGCCTTGCGGCTTTCCTCTCGGCGTTTCGCACGCGACGCTTCGGTAGAAGCTTTGCTTGGAAGAAAATCGCCATCAAAGACGAGATATGGCGTAACACCAAAGTGCTGGACCATACGGACGCGGTGCAAAACACTGTCGACATATCTTCTTGTTGGTCGACCTTGAGCTAGTTCCAAGGCACAGCTAATAGCACCGCGGTGCAGCCACCCATAGGCGTCGACAGCGAAAGTCTCACCGGTGTATTTCTTCAGCTCTATGGGCCGCTGGATGGATTTGAGAAGGGGAAGCAATCCTAAACTTCATGTCAGCACGGCGATTCCGTCTCGACCTACAAATACGGCCAAGGTGGAGGAAATCATACCGGAGATACCCATCCTGAGGCCGTGCAGGAGGCAGCGCCCGGCAGCGGAGGGACTTGGGCTCAAGGATGGGCACAGGCGTTGGCCATGCGGTTTGGGGAGGTGATATGTCGTCGAGGCGGTAAAGCTGAAGTTTATGTGCAAGTCTAGGCGACGTGGTAACGACGATGCTGTGACGAACGCCAAATTAATCGGTTCGTATAACAGACGTGAGAAGACCTTGTTCAAATGCGAAGGCTGTTGCCAGGGCGTGTGAGATGGCGGCTGTCAAGAAACTGCTCGCGCGGTCCATGCAGGACGACCAAAGAGGCGAGAATTACAGACCGACGCGAGTCGGAACGCGAGGTAATATACGGCCGAAGCAACGTGGAGAATATAACGCGCTGAGATAGAAAGAGAATGTGTTGAAGTGTAAAGAGGCAGAAGAAAAAAAGGAGATACGAAGTGCTAGAAGTATCTCTTCGGTTCAGGACTGGTGAGGTAGGTGAGAAAGCCGCTGTTCTTTGGAACATTGACGCGGCAAGACATGAAGGAGCTGCTCCGCGTCAACTGGAGGTGGTTGCCGTACCTGGACAGGTCATGGCAGGTCGCGTGTTGAGTGTCCCACGCCGGTGTATGCGCCACACCAGACAAGGGAAGAGCCTATTCGACACGACGAAGAAAGCGCGTCTCGTACCAGCGCGTAAAAGGCCTGGCCTTACTGCCAAATAGGAAATAGCGTCAAGCGGCCCGATATTTCCAGGGCAACTGGAAAGTAGTGGGTCGCCCCTTCCCCGCTAGGTCCGAATCCGATTTAAGTGTTGTTCTAGAAGGTGCAAACCAAAAAAAAAAAAAAAAAGAAAAGAAAGAAAAAGGCTAGTCAACGCTGAAGTGTGAAGAATCCACCCTGCATCGCCAAACTCCAACACCCAAAACTCGGACGCAATACCTCTCAAACAGACACGGCATCACTACGCAAGCCACGATGCAGCGAACACTGGACAAGACGCGCAAGCAGATTGTGAAGAAGAAAGGTCCTTTGGGGACGGTCCACGAAGGATCGCGGGACTCCCGACGCTTGCGCAAAGCCCTGGCCCGCGACGGTCGCCTTGGGAAGCTCGCGACGAGCAGAAAGATGCACGAACAGTCATTTGGTATGAGCATGCAATGGCTGGTTTCCTGCCTGCAGTGTTATTGCTTTGGGCTATGGCTGACACGCAGCAGTCGATCGTGCAGGGTTTTTCCAAGATTCCGTTCGCGAAACGGGCATCGATGTCTTTGACGCCGACCAATTTATGGCTGTTGTGAAGAGGTACGCCTGAATTAGGCCCTTGTCTGGGTATTGCACCCGTTCTCTGATTAGGATGTGCGGTGCTGACAATTCAGCTTTGTGCACCAGTACGACGAGGAGATGGACGCGCTGAAGCGGACTCGTCGACCAGGGCGGCCAGCTAGTACGCGTGAGGATGCGCTCAAGGTCAAGATGACTGCTCTGGAAAAGGAGTTTCAGAATGGATTTTGTAGGTTTCAACGGCTGCGTGTTTTCAAAAAGTCCCAAATGGCTAACCTAGAGCAGTGGCTCCCGACCTCACATCGAAAGACAATGTTTCTGCTCTGGAGCGGTGGGACGGTTCGTGGTTGCAGTTGAACAGTCTTTCCTGGGTGCGCATCAACGAAGCGGGTGCTGTACGGCCGGCAACCTTCCCCCCGAACAAGGACTAGAGACTTGGACGAAGAATCCTTTGCCTGTCCTTGCAACACCAGCAAGTGTGCAGCAGTGGCACGTACACCACCTGGCGGACGATGTGCGCGGCAAGCAGCATTGGGAATACGGGGGCAGAGCACGAAGCCGGAGACGATGCACAAGACGGGCGTTGCTGGTGACAAACAGCCGCCATAGCGTTACTACTTTGGCGACGTTGAGGCTAGCCATTGGTGTTCTTCGAGCTTCCTGCGAGTGCTTCGCCTGAATTTTCGTTCCGCGACGATTACCGGCCGTCCGAGTGTCCGGCCACCTGACGTTACTTTACGTTGCCTCACTTTAAATGGATGTTTCTCGTCGCGCATAGGAGGACAAATTGGGGCTGTTGGGGACCGAGATACGGAGATTTTGCCCTGACGCTCCGGCGGAGACGGGTGTACTATGGTTGCTGTTTGCGCGTTATGCGACTTGGCGACGGGTGTCGGCAACTGTCCATTCTTCGGGAACAAACGGGGCAACTCTTCTCTGCATATTGTCCGTCCGTCGTGGCCTTTCGCTTTTACGGATACGCGCAGCCACACCGTAGCCCCTGTCCGAAGGATCTTCTCTCTCCACCCGGATGTGGCGAGCGGCAGCCGCGAGAACTGCTGCGTTGATTATTTTCTGCTACTCCTCTATTCGCTCCTTCGCTCTCCGCGCATATGCATATGCAGCCCCGAAATTTGAATGTGTCAGGTCTGTTGAGATATGCCCTGCCATCAAGTCTCCGGAGCGTCATCTCGAAGATCGCCCAACCTAGAAATGAGCCCTCTATATGTATAAGTATCTTATCTACTGGAAGGCTTGTATCCGTCGCGATGCTGTTGCTTTGTTTGTTGAGTTGATTTCTTTCCCATCTCATGTCATGACCTCTTTCATGAGACGCTTCGGAGCGAGTCAAGCGAAATATTTTGTAGAGGCACACAGCTCACACTAGAATTCGTTGAGGTACCGAAGCCCAGCGTCTACAATCGAAACCACCCTGTTCCAGCCTACTTGAGCGTGTGTAAACTAACGTCCCTCAGACCAACATCTCTTTCCGTACCACTATATTTCTTAAATGCCTTGTCCCCTCGACGCACAAAGTCAGCATGCTGCCATGGCGAAAGGGCAGCAGCTAGCCGTCGCACGTCGAAATGTGAAAGGTTACCCCAAGACAAGAAAGACGACGAGACCACTCCTGCGGTCGAAATTGATGAGGTGATATTCCCATGCCAGGGTTTGCAGCTGCCTCGTTGTCTTTGATATATCTACTTGAAACAGAACTGAGACACCTCTACCCGATATCTTTCGCCCTGCCCGATTTGTGCTTAATGACCAGACGGGCAGCCCAAGCTAGTAGAATCTCAGTCTATTTCTCATGAAAATGAAGTTGCAGATGCGTTGTGCTGTTCACCATTTCTTGTATTGTTTTTCTTGTTATACGGAGTATCTATTTCTGCCGTTACATTCGTCTCAAAAACGCGGCTATGTCTCCCCACCTGCGGAGAGCTTCTCGTATGTTTCCTCAGACACTCCTAGAAAACGGCTTGTCCCAGCTCTAGCCCATGTCCTACCACGGCTTTTCGTCGCACTCTGCATGCCCTTTGGTGCGTTGTCCTACTGCCTCTTTTTGTCACGCTGTGCACTGCGCTGAAGTCTAAGCTGTGCATCAATTAAAGTGCAGATGCAGACAGATTCCGCCGCGTGGCGCAATTTTCCCTTCTTATCTATACTTGTTCTTTTCAGATACACAAGCATGTATACAAAGGCGTGTATATCTAGAGAACAGGGCATATCATGGCAATGACAGAGTGAGTAGCTTCTTTTTAAACTTATTAAGGGACAATAACCTTTTTCTAGGCCGACAGGTACCATAACTCTTTCATATGTGCCGCATGACGGATAGCAGGAATAAGAAGATGTCTTGACATGTTAAGGCAGACTCGCTTGTATGTATTCACTTGTTTCTCGTACCTTTGAAAGAAGAAGGAAACAAATGTTACAGCACAAGCCAATTTACATGTCCCCAGATCAGAGCACCCTGAAGGATTACTGACCCCCGGACGCAAGCCAGATACTTTTGTCTCTAACGAACCCTGATACCACGCAACTTTCGGTCACCATGCACCTTTTCGTGAGAACAACCAATTCTCATATATAACGCTCCTGTCACCCTCCGTCTCCCCATGGCCGCCGGTGGATGTGGCTATATGGATTAACAAGCGTAGACATGAACCAGCACGCTTGTCAACCAGCTCATTGGCACCCACAAGCCGGAAGGTGTCCACCAGCCAGCACTCAATATAGATCTTACGCCTCCTCTGTATGCATGTACTGACCTTCCTTTCTTTCTCTTGCCGTCCTTTCATGCCGTGCATGGTTTTTTTTTATTCTTTTTTTTTAAACACAAATAGTTTGGCTAACATATCTAGTAATCATGTGTCTCTACGTTTCTCACGTCCGTATCTGCTGTCTTTGCAGCCATGAAGATACAGTGCTCATTTCGGAGAGCCTGTGCCTAACGGCACGCCGTAGCGGCGTCTTTGGCAGCTGTGGTACCGGGCCAGGCATTCAGCGCAGTCCGACACCCTATCAGTGTTGGGGTTGCAAAGAGTCCTTCGAGTCGCGAATACCCCGAGTGTCATCAACACGGCGTCGAATCAGTCTCAAGTGACGAGTTTTTGACAAGACGAGCCAGCGCCTCTGGCCGGCCCTCGGGAGCCATATCGTGAAGAGCGGTGATAAGACACGCCTGGCCTGGTTGTACGCCAGCAGACAGGTCACGCAATACGAAGTGGGAAGACATAAAAACGGTGTTGTGGACTTGGGCAGAAAGCTACAAATAGATTTGGCGCGTTGGGAGAATAAAAAGAGGCCATGACACTAAAAGGATTACCGAGAGGGAAAGGCAGGACCTATCCTTAGCCAGGTTGTGGGAAGGGACAGGGAATATATTCCGCGCCGATAGTTGGGTTTTGGTCGTGTATCTCGTCTTTTTCTTTATCTTCATGGCATGGCTTTTATATTCCTTCGCTGATACTTGGCTCGACTTGTCAAATGGCTCACGGTTGTAGTGTGAAGAGAAGGCGACGCCGAAAAGGTATCGTGAGATTAGACTTTTCGGCACATTTTCGTCTAATTTCACTGTCAAAGCCAAGGTCTGCAAACAGCATTACACAATCACGTGGGGCCATTTTTAACCAATACATTGACAGCATTGGGCTGTCAAAACAGTGGTGGGGCAACGTCTCTCACAGCTAGAAAATTTGGGCAAAGCTCTGGAGGATTTTCAGAAGCTTGTAAGTACGTCGCA